TCCCGAAGAACAGCCTTCGCTCTAGTAACAGTCTTCATTATTTATTTATTTGCATATCCTGTGGACGTTGCCATGATTATATGCGCATTTGGGAAAAATACGTGGCCACACTCAGCCGTAAATGTAAATGAAATTTCTATGCCAGCTTCTCTACGTCGGCCTTATCATCGTGAGGAATCCATCGTTAAGATACTCAGCTGTGTGCGACACTATTTAGACCTTGCAGCGGTCACGTAGTGGAATCCTTTTGTTTTTTTTTTTTGCTTTATTCAAAGATAACGCGATTATCGCGCCTGCAAGAGGCAGCACACATTTGACTTGAGTTCACTTAAGCACGGAACATGACTTTAAATCTGTGTATATTCTTACGAAAATTTCGGTCATGATTCGCGGTTGAGTTAAAACGCTGTGGTAGTTGCTTCGATCATTTTATATAGATACAGATACACGTACCTCATGCACAAGTCATGTTTGCATACTTTCATTGTTGGGTAAGAAGTCTTGAAACCTGACTAAGCTATAATGTTTATTTTTATAGTTCGGTATTCTTGTTTCATTGTTTTTTGGCTTCATGCTTTCTTTAAGGAACCAAAAGTCACATATCATGTTCCAATTTACGTATAATAAGTGTTGGGCTCCTAACACAGACAAACATTGCAGCACTACTTGTTATGCGACCCACCCTCAGATTACTATACTCATAGGCCTGAAATGACAGCACGTCTAAAGCTCTTTGCAACGGTCAGTGTAACGTGAAAGCCCGAAAGCTCAGCAATTCGGGTGATTTTAGTCTACATGCCCGACCCCGTAAGCTCAAGAGCAATGATGCTGGCTAGACAAGGCTTGCCACGTGCCATGTGTCGTTAAGCAAGCGAATTGGACTTTGGTATGCTGCACGGCCTTGTTTAGAAACCTGAGCTACAAGAGCTACGCTTGACAGCCCTCCAAGCAAAATCCTTACGGCACGTGTGCCTGCCGCAGAACAAAGTTTTCTGAAGCCAAGAATTTCCGAGTGGCGTCGTTTGGACTGAAAACCGGCCTCAAAGGCAGGGCACAGAAGAGCATGGCCCACAGCGTCGCAATGCAGGACGTCTTTCTTTTGTTGTTGTTTTTTGTAAGCTATAAAAACAGAGAAACAGCAATTAGACGCACACGTGCAGCACACACGTTAAGAGAGCTTTTTCACTTTTGAAAGGACCTTTTACGCATGCCTTACCAGAATGTAAAAAGTAGTTTCAAGTAACAAGCACAATTTATAGTGTATAAGGATAGCCAAGGTACTCGGCTGCTGACCCGCAGTTCGCGGGATCGAATCCCGGCTGCGGCGGCTGCATTTCCGATGGAGGCGGAAATGTTGTAGGGCCGTGTGCTAAGATTTGGGTGCACGTTAAAGAACCCCGGGTGGTCGAAATTTCCGGAGCCCTCCACCAGGGCGTCTCTCATAATCATACGGTAGTTTTGAGATGTTAAACCTCACACAATCAATCAATCAATCAATCAATCAATCAATCAATCAATCAATCAATCAATCAATCAATCAATCAGAGTATAAGAATATCTTAATAATACGCCCACCATTGCTTATTTTAATCTGCATTTTGTCTCGTTCACTCACCATGCCTGACCTCCGTCTGTTCTCGCTCGCAAAGTCGAAAAGTCGAAAGACAGCACACAGTTACTGCCGTGCTTAGAGGCATGGTTGAAGTTACGGCGCGTGTACAGCGTCTGCGGCTCATTCGGCATGCGAGTAATCTTCACGTATATAGACACTCGCCACGGTGTTTTAGTGTTTACGGTGTTGGACTGCTGATGTCATTCTCTCTGGATTTCGTGCCAACCGGTTGTGACCCCCGCGATCTCCGACGACAGCGCAGCTCTGGCCGACTGGGCTCCCCCTACGCCATCTCCTGCCGCCGACATGAGCTCTCGCCGAGTGGTGCCCCGTCCTCGGACTCCTGTGACCGTGTCCATCTTTCCTATCTCCTCTTCCGTTACTCCCTTTCCCTGCACCTCACTCTCTCCTTCCTCTCTCTATATATACCTTTTAATCCTATCCTTTTTTATTTCTCCTTACCCCCATCCCTTGTGAGCTACTACTGAGGTGTCGCACTCTGATGCAGACAGTTACGGGGCTCACTTTTCTCTTCTTTTCCCTTTAAAAATCACATAAGAAAGAAAGACTGCTGATCCGCAGGTAGCGGGACCGAATTCGAGATGCGGCGGCCACATTTCCGATAGAGGCGAAAACGCTTGAAGTCCGTGTAACTTATATTTAGGCGCATGTTAGTTAAATAAACCACAGGTGGTTGAAATTTCCGAAGCTCTTACACACGGCTTCTTTCATAATCATATTGTGGTTTTGGGACGTTAAATTGGGACAAATGTTTATTATTCACGTACAGACAGCTATACAGCAATATGAGCACCTACCATAACCACGAAGAAAAAAACATTTGCTTATTAACACATTCAGACACAACAATCTAAGAGGCATTTTTCTTCATAATTCAATCGGAAGCACTCGCCGAAACAGCCACTGAAAGATCAGGGAGCATTTTCCTATTGACCACACGAGTTATAGAAGCGGTAATTGATGTTCTTGGACAGGTAATGGGACAACGAAGAAGAAGAGCTACCACTTGAAAGTAATCTTTATTTATCCTGCTTTATAGCTCGTCTAAATGTACGGCATACCAACATGAGTTCTAATTAACATACCAACATGAGTATCTAATTAACACACACACGCACGACATGCAAAGGAAAGAGTCGACGCAGCGCTGTCCTTTTAGATGCGGAAGCATCTTATACTCGCGCCTTGTAGTGCGCCGTCCGCGCCGTCCGCACCGCTTCTCGAACATTCGACAGCTGACGCGCGCGCATGCGCCGTCGCGCCGTCGCCCACTCTTCCACCATCTGTGCATCCCTTCCTCCTCTACACACCGCGCGCGCTTCACTCCTCCACCATCTGTGCACCCTTCCTCCTCTACACACCGCGTTCGACATCTACAATTCTCCTGATTCTCCAGTGGACGCGCATGTGGCGTCGCGCTTCGAGAACATTCAACAGCTGACAGTGCATGCGCCGTCGTGCTGTATATATACTCAAGGTCGGCGCTCGCTCGCTCAGTTGCCGCTCGTCGGTTGGTTTGTACGGCGCGTCGACGTCCAAAGTCGCGGTGAAATGAATTCCAACGAATCCACAAACACAATGATCGACGTCCCTTCGACCAGCGCCGCCCTTTCGCATACGTGTGTACGTGTTCACTCATTTAACACCCCCTCCTACAACCACGTTAACCAATTTAGCCATCGACCCAAGTAAGTCGCAATTTAACACCCCATTTCACAACCACGTTAACCAATTTAGCCATCGACCCAAGTAAGTCGCACTTTAACACCCCGTTAACCAATTATATGCTCCGCATCCTCCTCAGTGTTCCCCCGAGGGAAGCTGCGGGCAATTTTTTCTTTTTGCCTTGTCATCCATTATTTTTTTGCGCTAATTAGATATGTCTCAAGTGAGCAGTAGTCCGTGCAAGCCAGCCCAACTATTTATGTCGCAGTTTGTTAGTGCACCAAATTTATTACTAGCGCACACCCCAAGCGTTCGTCATGCATTCTGCTGTTGAGCCGTATCGAAACAGCCATCGTCGGGCGCGTTAGGTTTGTTTTCATGCGCATATCATTTTGTTAGAAAATTAGTCGACAATAACTGGTCTCGCTGACATCATATACATGCGCATTCTGGGCATCCTTCGTTTTCTTCGTGCTGAAGTGGCTCACTGCGCATAATCAGTCGTCAGGTGCAGCACTTTTTCTTGCCAGTTTATGAGTATGAATTACAGCACTCGGATGTGCGCAGTGTAATTCATTCCCAATGACGACCAGCCCGTGTTGTGCGGTCGAGTCAAGTGGCATCTTTTCCAATTGGCAGGCACCCTGATTGATTGATTGATTTGTGGGGTTTAACGTCCCAAAACCACTATGTGATTATGAGAGATGCCGTAGTGGAGGGCTCCGGAAATTTCGACCACCTGGGGTTCTTTAACGCGCACCCAAATCTGAGTACACGGGCATTGGCGGGCACCCTAACTAAGCAGAAGGATGCTAATACCTAATAGATAGAAAGCTGGAACCTGTCAAATGGGTTGTTTCGCGAACCGATGTACAGTTTTCCAATCGGAATTATCTTCCTGAAGTTTTCGCTTTAGAAGCTTATTGCACTTGCCAAGATAAGTAGCTAAGGAGAACACACAAAAACTAGTGTGACTAACTCCACACAATAGTCGTCAAACATGCTTTCGGTAGCCTTTTAAGTGTGCGCGCGTGTGCTGCCGAATGTGCTGTTTCTCTCTTCCCTCTCTGCTCTCTTTCATCTCCCCCATTCCTCTCCCGTGCGCAGGGTAGCAAACCGGCTGTCTATAGGCTGGTTAACCTCCTTGCCTTTCTTTTCCCTCTATTTTCTTCCCTTCCTTCGTCACAAAGTGTGTCGGCACATTTTAAAACTCTGGCTATATAGAGTTAGCTGGAACACCTCGTATAATTACTGAACGAAGAATCGTATAGCGTGAGGTGGTTGACATACAGACATCTAGCGTTATTTTCACCCAATCGCGGGCTCTGTGTGTATTACCAGCTGCACTAAGCGTGCGTGGTGCAGACACGCATGACACGATAATTTCACCGGGTGAAACGTGTGTCTAAAGGTTGGGAAGCAAGTAGTATGAATGAGATGGCGATTGGAAAAGCGGACGCTCGCGTGGAATATTTCTCGCCTGTATTTGATGTTGCGCAAATTGATCAGCAATGTGTTGCGCGACACTTTTTATACTTTTTCATGCTTTTCAATCTGAGCTGACTCACGCTCAGATTTTGCGCGCGCACACTCGAAGGATTTCGCGGAGCATGAGGCTCTTGCCATGGAGGAGTCTATGTGATTTATTTATTTCGATCGGCAGTCGCACGTTGTCATGACGCAGGCGACGGCTTCGTCACCTTTACACATCGTCCATGGTTTGCAGGGCGTGCAACACAGCAGCTCGGCACCGGCCTCCGTGGCAACCTGCGGTTGAAAACGCGAAATAGGTGGCAAGCATATCAGCCAACTTGCAATGAATAAACACAATCAATCAATCAATCAATCAATCAATCAATCAATCAATCTTGATTATTTTTGTTCACACCTTCATTCTACGGTAGTTTAGCCTTTTCAAAACATGCTTTCAGTGTTTACAGTTCAACTTCCTTTATTCTTTAGTTTTCATTCACGATGCTAATTTTATTAAAATACATTACTTTACTCTTCATCAAAGCGTTATAATTGTTTTCTCTTTTTTTGCCATTCATTGTGATATTAGCGTTGCATAATATTCGTAACTTGCATTACATTTTGTAGTCATTCTGTATGTCAGGTATACCTATCACCACCGCCGCTGAAAAAACATACAAACAAGGCCGTGGTATCCTTAAACTTTCACATTCTTCAAATGTTTTGATTATATTCATGTCATCTGGCTATACATGTAGTGTTTGCTTATAATTATGTTAATTTTTGTTTATACTATTGTGAAAAATCATTTTACTGCCTTACTGCCACGCTCTCGAAGGGGAGTAGCAGTACTGTGACTAAATAAATAAATAAATAAATAAATAAATAAATAAATAAATAAATAAATAAATAAATAAATAAATAGAATAATAAATAAATAAATAAATAAATAAATAAATAAATAAATAAATAAATAAATAAATAAATATATGGATAGATAGATAGATAGATAGATAGATAGACAGACAGGCAGACAGACAGATAGATAGATAGATAGATAGATAGATAGATAGATAGATAGATAGATAGATAGATAGATAGATAGATAGATAGATAGATAGATAGATAGAGAGACAGACAGACAGACAGACAGACAGACAGACAGACAGACAGACAGACAGACAGACAGACAGACAGACAGACAGACAGACAGACAGACAGACAGACAGACAGACAGATAGATAGATAGATAGATAGATAGATAGATAGATAGATAGATAGATAGATAGATAGATAGATAGATAGATAGATAGATAGATAGATAGATAAGCATTTCGTATAACTAGTAGGTAAAAATTTGCGTAGAGTCACTGTCGAAATTCACGCAATCATACATCCTTAATATCCACACGCGCACGCATAACATACATGCACGACGCATGTGGTATAGCGGTAAGAGCCTGGTTTTCCCTGCCGCACTTATGTAACAATTTGAGCCCGTGTACCATCGACCTGTTTCTCTCTTGCTCTGTCCTCCGTGACCCCGTCAAGGTATCCCAGGTCGACCATTGACGCCGACTGGCGTGCCGGGATCGCCCGAAACAGGCCCATCCTCGGTTCTTCCAACTGCGAAAAGCGTGTTAGAAAACGTAACGCAGAATCTCATGCACACGCCTCTCTCGATAGGAGCAGAAAATTTGCTCGTTAACAGCAGGCAACGTGTGTTTTAAAGGGGCACTAGAGAGAAAGCAAATAGCTATTTGCTTTTTCACAATAACGAAATTTCCACGCTAACCACGAGGAGGCACGAGCTTGTTGCGTATAGATTTCCAGAGCCATTGTAGTGATGTCATCGATTTTGAAGGCGTGTACTGGAACCTACGTCGTTCCCAATCGATAAAAGTCGAGCGCACTTTGCTCTGAAGGGGCCACCGGGTTAACTCACCAAGTTTATGAAAATTTCGTTTGGCCAATCCCGTCAAACACGAAAAAAAAAAAATACTTTGGAATTCACGGCGTCAAGGAAAGAGATCTTGTCGCGAAGTTTCAAAATGAAACTCGGACCATGATTTTTGCATGTATTACTGAATCTATATTGGTGAGAGTAATAACATTGGAGTATTCAGAGTAAAATTAAGAACCGACTTGTTGCTTCATCTTAGCGTCTCTTTAAAGTTTTTGTGTTATAGAAAGTGACAATCACGTAGCATGATTTCAGAAAAAGAGGAACGGCTTTACGCCAAGCACGCCTAGTACATATTGTTCCCCCCAAAACTGGAGAGCCATTTCTTAAGTCTTCATTCGTGAGGTTTAGTTAGTCATAATTTTACTTGTGATCAGAAAAGTACTAGTATAATTATCAAAATATCAATAAAACATATCTAGGCATGTTTAAATGACATCTAGATGTGCTGTTTTCAATCAAGTGCTAATTGCGTGCTCATTATGGTGGAGTTGATAAAAACCACGAAATGCGAGAAATAATATGCGAGTATACGCTCCGACTCGCGAAAGAAGCTATAGCGTCCTTAAAGAAGCTTAGTGCAAGCGACCACTGCCTGTTGCCCCCTGCAGCCATAAACAGCGTTCCGAACTTTGACAAGGGTGTACAGGACGAGCGCCTATACAACATGCCTTGCGATTTTGCGGGAATTCTTTCTGCTCGACTGCAAGCCACTACCATTATCCGTATCTCGCAGCCAACTGTTCTCGTTCACAATGCGACCGGAGCGCTGTTCTAATTACGACTGGCTCTGTATACATAAGATCGAAGCGATGCTCTTTTTCTTCCTGCGATCCGTAGTTATTTATTTCTGCATTTTCTCTTGACAGTGGATGCGTACATTAGTCCAATCACGTCTCATTTTCCGCTCTTAGAAGGCTTGCTTCATCAACCCCCCCCCCCCCCCCCAAAAAAAAAAAAAAATGAGCGAGCAGTCAGTATGTTGCTCAAAACAGCACAGTTAGGTGCTAATTGAACTTGCCTGCATATGCCTAATTAACATTTTGATAGTTAGGCAGCTAACAAATTTCAAGTGTAATTATGACTCATTACTGATGTTTTGATAAAGGAAACAAATAGTATAGTGGCTTTTCCATTGTACCGGGAACAATATGCACTAGTGTTGGGTCTCGTAACATCGTTCCTTTTTTTTTTTCAAGTCATACTGCCTGATATAGTTTTATTTCGAAAACCTGCCCTTAGGCATATCCGGGACACACTGTATATTTTTTCCTGTAAGCCAAGAGGTGGACGTGGCGGAGACAGAAAGCGTCACTCACTTGAGCATAATCCAGATCCCTTCTGCCCATACGAGGTATAGTGTTGGTTGTTTTTGAGAAAAACTGTCCCTGGCTCACTCCCAAAAGGGCTAGGCAGCAGCAAAGTTTCATGAGCGCTTCAAAGCCCAGCCAGCCTGCCGAAAAAAAAAAAGCACTGGGATCGTCCTTCGCACATGCACGCGAGTGGTGACGTAGTAAAGAGTTTGCCACTACCGTGCTGTACTCCGATCAGCGTGTTTTATTAAAAAGTGCAATCGAGTTCACGCAGGTCCAAAGAAATTGTGCATATTACATATCGTAGGTTCGGCATATAGTTCAGTATTAGGACATTGTGTCGCATGTTACCGTGACTATGCATGCTTAATAATTGCCGGTTGACCTTAATTGATTTCAACGCAGCACTAAAAGACAAAAAAATGCTGGCTCGAGAATCTACGATTATTTTTTAGATTAATACATAACGTCATTTGCTGATTGACCATTAGACCATTTCTTCAAATTTAAAAAAAATGCATTGAGCTTTGTTACAGGTAAAGTTCGTGTGACAACTCTCTCGTTATAATTAGAACATGCCATAACTTGAAACATCGACTTCATTTGTTTAGGTTAACTGCTTCACCCCAAAATGTGCTATCTTTCTACAATTTAATTTTCTTTATTTTAACTTTGCACGCTTCCAGAAATAAGAGAGGTGCACCTTATGCCTGCGCCTTACGCACAAAGAAAATAAAATCGTTTACGTATATTCGGACGATTAGGTTTAAAAAAAAATGAAGGAAGTGACTGAGCGGTCATTTCCACAAGTGCATGGTGGCTTTGCACGGAACAGCAGGTTACAGATGAGTTTAGCCTTATGCAATGCACTCACACGATTTATAATAATATCTGAAATTTTACGTCTTAGAGAGAGATAACACAAAGAGAAAGGCGGGGAAATTAACCAGGGCTGAGCCCCGGTAAGCTACCCTGCACTGGGGAAGGGGAGAGGGGGAAGGAAAGTTATAGAGGAGGAGGGAAAAGGTTCACTGACTGGGCCGACGCGTAACAGTTTCATCATCACAAACGATGAAACAGGACGGTGTCTTTGAGAAAACGCAACAGTGCTTTCGTTGCCCTTCGGAAATTGGATGGGCAGTGCCATGGTCCCAATACTTTCTCGACAGTGAAACCACTTCTGTCCAGTTGATTGAAAACACTGCGCAGGTGAAGCCTCACGTTTGTGTATGCCAGGCAGTAACATAAGAGGTGTTCAATAGTCTCATCCACGGCGCAGTCGTTGCACTCCGCTGCTGTCGGCCATCCTTATCTTAAATGAGTAGGCATTGGTGAAGGCTACGCCCAGACGCAGACGGCAAAACACTGTACCTTCCTCCCTAGAAAGACCAGAGGTAGCCGCAGTCGTAGAGATGGTCGAGAGAATGTAGTCGATGATGTGCGAATTTTACGTCTTAAAATCATCGGACTACGAAGGAGGCCGTATATAGTGGAAAGCTCCCGGAAATGTCGACCCCCTGGTGTTCTTTAACAAGCATAGACAACGCACAGTACGCAGGCTTCTGGCTTTTCACCTCCATGGAAATGCGACCTCAACTGCAGGGATCGCACCTGGGACCTTCGAATCAGCATCCGAGCTCCGTAACCGCTATACCTCTGTGGCGTTATAGCGGTTACGGGCCCCAATCGAGACGGCGTTTATCGGCAGTACGTTCTTGCAGCGATTCTATATGAGCGTAACACAGTGGGTAAGAGCGCAGCACTGTCTAGAAAGTTGACAGCAACCGGAAGGGCGCGGCGGGCGAGCCCAACACTCAAGCGTTAGAGATGCTACTGACCGGGGACTCTTGTTGTTCTTCCCCCATATAAATGTGTATTGTAGCTTACAGGTAATGAAAGCCTTTTGACAAGGTTTTCAATGAACGGCCGATCAAGCTGCCCGTTCTGCCCATACTGAAAGCGATGAAATATCAATTCCGCTTTCCAGAACTGACGCTGCACGGAAACTCCGCATGCTTGCTCGCAAGCGCACCTCGTCACAATGGAACGAGTCACATTTCGTCCATGCACGGTTAGGTACTTTAGACCCAACCCTCAGTCTTCGAATTCCTCCGGAATTACGCCGACGAGACGGTACTATGCTGTGCAGATTATGGTTGGGCGTCGCATTTACCAATGCGTACACGCATAGGAATGGCTGACACTGCTGCATGTGACCATTGCGGCAGGGACGAAACAACTTGGCACATTCTGTGTGAATGCCCACAATACTGCTCGCAGAGACAGTCACTCTGCAATGCACTAGATGAACTGGACAACCAGCCTCTTTCGGAAGAAAGACTCCTGCGCTGCCGACAGGACTTTATGTCGCAGAAGAAGGCTGTGAAGGCGCTTCTGCGCTTCTTGCGTTCAACCGGCCTGTCCAAACTACTGTGATCGGAACTCCCTGAATGTGTGCGCATGTGTGTGTTTTTTTCTAATTTATTTTATATCTCTCTATCTATCCTCTTTCCGATCCTTTTCCTCACCCCCGTACAGGGTAGCAAACCAGTTCGTCTAGGTTAACCTCCCTGTCTCTTCCTTTTAATTATTTCTCTCTCTCTCTATTGACAAGGTTTTGAAAGCGTGTACTTATAAGTTATAAGTTATAACTTGAAAATTGTGTTTGAGGAACTTTACAATTTGTTTATTTCCGGAACGAAGTGGGCTATTCTAGAAGAAATATGAAGGCTACATAAACCATTACACGAGTGCAGGCCATTGCGCTTGATAGCATCAGTTCTCGAAACTTGTCCAGTTTGAAGTTCCCTTCACCTAGATTGTGACGTTGCCCATCGTTACCAATGAAAAAATTGATTCTTTGCATGCTGGTGTGCTTGCAAGGTCTTGTTGAGTCTTTAAAATTACTTCTTTCACAAACGTGACACAAGAATATACAGGCGGAAGTACTGAATTTCATTGCTTCAGGGGTATGTAAAAGGTTACATAGGACGCACATCGCTACTTACATAGCAAAAAAAGCGAGGATATACTCACCCCTCAAGGCTCGTCCTGGCTTCATCGTAGCTCTGTGAGGCAGCCAAGCTCCGCGCCGTTCTGCCCGCAGGCGAAGTCTTTATATGCAGGTTCAGAAACGCTTGTAGGGCGCTTTACTTTCGCGCGAAGGCCAGCGGGCGAGACCCAATTATCGGTTGGCAAGCGGGCGCCCGCGACGTTAATCGAGATCAGTAGGGGCTCCATTGTTTTACTTTGCATACCTTACGCCGTATCGATACAGCTGAATAGATCCCTCGCTGATTCTATCCATCTTTACATACATACATACATACATACATACATACATACATACATACATACATACATACATACATACATACATACATACATACATACATACATACATACACGCATACATACATACATACATACATACATACATACATACATACATACATACATACATACATACATACATACATACATACATACATACATACGTACGTACGTACGCCCCGCCACGGTGGTCTAGTGGCTAAGGTACTCGGCTGCTGACCCGCAGGTCGCCGGTTCAAATCCCGGCTGCGGCGGCTGCATTTAGATGGAGGCGGAAATGTCGAGACCCGTGTGCTCAGATTTGGGTGCACGTTAAAGAACCCCAGGTGGTCAAAATTTCCGGAGCCCTCCACTACGGCGTCTCTCATAATCATATGGTGGTTTTGGGACGTTAAACCTCACAAATCAATCAATACATACACACGTACGTACGTACGTACGTACATACAGCCCCGTCGCGGTGGTCTAGTGGCTAAGGTACTCGGCTACTGACCCGCAGGTCACGTGTCTACACGGCTCTACAGCCATTTCAACTTTATCGAGGCGAAATGGCTGTACACCCGTGTGCTGTGATTTGGGTGCACGTTGAAAAACCTCATGTGGTCGAAATTTCCGGAGCATTCCACTACGGCGTCTCTCATAATCATATGGCGGTTTCGGGACGTTAAACCCCACATATGATATCAATCAATCCTCTCCACTCTAAATCAACAAAGTGCCCGCGTCTCCCCGGAAATCTGCCTACGCCCCTGCGTTGTACCAATCTTGTTTGGTTCACTTCGTCAACCTTCTATGAGCTGTAACAACATTGTCACTTTGTTTGCTAAGTCATTTGCATATATGAGTACGCAATGAGATAGCCAAGGGGAGTAACCTCGGCTTGTTAAAGCATGAAAAGCGTTCAGAACTGGCCGAATGCCTCACCTTATAGTTTCGTTGAAGTCGTAACAGTTTATTTTGTGCTACGCGAGTAGTTGATGCTAAAGTTATAAATAAATAGGTGGGTTGTTATGCGCAACATAAGTGACTTAGCCGCCGTAGGATGTGAACTGAATTACTGCCCATTATGCACGTCCTTCGAGACATCGTTCTAGCGCTGTGTTCTTGCCCTCGGACAAAGCTTTGCTGCGTCCTGTTGTGTACCAGACACACCTGTCATCATCATCATCATCATCATCATCGACTACTGCTACTGCTCCTCCTCCTCCTACTACTACTACTTGATATGTGGGGTTTAACGTCCCAAAACCACCATTTGATTATGAGAGACGCCGTAATGGAGGGCTCCGGGAATTTCAACTACCTGAGGTTCTTTAACGTGCACCCAAATCTGAGCACACGGGCCTACATCATTTCCACCTCCATCGGAAATGCCACCGCCGCATCCGGGATTCGAACCCGCGACCTGCGGGTCAGCGGCCGAGTGCCTTAGCCACTAGATCACCGCGGCCGGGCCTACTACTACTACTACTACTACTACTACTACTACTACTACTACTACTACTACTACTACAACTACTACTACTACCTTTGGTTGCTATTATGTAAGTGTACCACGATATCGATAAGCTCAGCCCATGATAACTAAGAAAGGGACAGAGGGACATAAGCAATAACTCTTATATACAAAAATGTTTATTTTTATCATAAACTCATCCAAACATCTCAGTATGTACAAAGTTACCCAGTTAACATATTATTAACTGCATACATATTTCTCCAAACATTGGGTAGGATTTACAGTACATCGTACCGTAGAGTCTGTGTGTTTGATTTGGTCAAATTCCTAGCTTCGGCGCTGTTGCGTCCAAACAGGCGATACGATAGAAGTTGTGGAATGTTGAGCGAGGTGCTTTTTTTACCTTGCTGGGATTTACGCAAAACATGGTACAATGAAACAGCCGAACACTCATTTGTATAGCCACGATAACATGCAGATATTCTGACAATAAACGCTATTTGCCATCAAGTATCACAATTCCGGCCGAGGCACATTAGTAGTGTGTTCAGGGAATGTAGGTGTGTTCACTTATGGAAGGATATTAGCTCCAAGTGTAAGGAAGAAGCGACGACATAGGTGTTCTTGATTGGTGAACCTTGTTTCTATTGGCGATTCCCCATGTTTCACTACGAAACTGAGGCGACGGGAAAGTGAGCCCCACGATCTGTTCAGTTCTTTGCCGCCTCTTTGTTGTTTGCTGCGTAATTTAGCAAAACTTGAGTCAGTGCCTGCACTAACCGAACAAATCGAACGTTTGCCTGAACAATTATTGCCCGCTGCCATGCGAAACAAATCAAGCCCGCGTCCACAGCATTGATTGGTTATCCCGTTGCTGAGAGCCTTGGTCGGAATGAAGGCTTAAAAATGTGTGCCACTAAACTTCGAAGCCAGGCCATCCTGCTCTTCGTCTTGCTGAGAACATGCACTGTACGAGCGACACCACAAATGCCCCGCAGATACAGCCGAGACAAGTGGACGATGCTGTATAGGCTGATCCCGTGAAATAAAATTTTCTTTCCGTATATTACTGAGTGGGACTAAATTTTATTAAACATGTAAGGATGTCCCTTTGTCACACAGGTAACAATATCACCTTTACGACTGTAAGAAACTTCTATTGTGTTTAAGATCATGCTTAAAACTCGCACGGTGAGAGAAGACACCCATTTAAACCTCCTGGTGTACATAGAAACATCTAGCAAAAACGGGCAGTGGAAGCCTAGGAAACTTATTGCACTTTTGTCGTCGTGTTTGCACCTCTGATATATTCTTATTTGTAATGAAATCATGGTAAACAAGGACCTTGTATTTTTTTACCCAAGATCTACGCTTAGATATCAAACGTGAGAGTGTTAGCCATGGGACAAGCAAACACATTTTTTTACACTTGTAAAGGTGCAAGAACGTTTAGGGTGTACGTAGGCGCTTTCGCGTTTTCTTTCATAATGCACCTTCATACGCTAACTCGACTCGTAGAATCGTTTCTGTATGGACCGTCTTGCCCAGTGCTGTTCTCCTCACTGCGTACTCGACGACAGAATCACTGTGTTAAGCGTTCGACTCACCTGTCCTCACTGAACCACTTTAACGACGTTATGACACATTGGTTACTCGACACTTGTCGCATCTGCTGACCGGCGAGTCGGTGACGATAGATTACGGGCTTACCAACCGTAGATTTAATTAACTTTCATTCACCCAATGTTCTAAGGCTTCAAGCACTCTTTCACCAGATCAGGAGAGGAAAGAAGCTGAGAAAGCGCCAGCACCCTGAAAAAGTTATGTCGATGTTGGGTTATTTCTTACACGTACCACTTGGGGTGACACCGATGATTTATAGCCGGTTTTACGTCAGTGTGGCAGTAGGGCATCGCATCACAGTACTATTTACACCACACGTCTCAAACAAGCCGCGACTTGTTGATGTGTGGGGGAGAGCACGACGACATCCGCCGCACTTTTTTTTTTCTCTCGTTCGATATACAATGCGCCGGCGTTTAGTACATACACTGCTTAAGTCGACTTGCCCGTGTATGGCGTACACTATCTTGGTGCGTTAATGCGGTTCACCTTCGTAGTGTATACAGCCGGATGGATGTGGCACGCTAGAAAAGCGATGCGATACGGCGCCTGTCATTCGCTTAAATGCGTATTACCCGTACCGAAGGTGATCTATTCGGCTCGCGACGCCGCTCTCTGGAACATGTACCTGCTTTGATGCGGCTGTGACAAGTCCTTGAAGAGGAAGAGACGCCAACGGCTTTCTTGAAGACAACCAACGAGAGATCAATGTTATAGCTCCGGTCACTAAGAAAGCATATGCAGTGGCGTAGGACGGCTAAAGCCCGCGTCGAAACATGCTTTCGTCGTAGTTCCACTCACCCAAATACGCAGAAGTGTTCGCTCGAAGCGATTGTTGCACGGTATATAGGTACATTCAAAGTGTCTGAAAGGCATCACAGGGACTGCAGATTATACGGCGTTGGGGTGACACGTCGGCTCGAGGACATGTCACGGATAGCACGTACGTATTAACAATACGGCGTTGGGGTGACACGTCGGCGCGGGGACATGTCACGGATTGCACGTACGTATAAATAACATTCAGTCATTTGCGAAAACACGCCGGGAAAAATATGACTTTTCACCCGAAAGTTCCTCGTCAAACGGACAGCACGATTTTCTCGGGAGTCGCTCGAACTGCGGACTGGACTGCACTTTCGTGCGGGCGTCTTTTTCCGTTGTAGGGAACTTGCGAATCGCTTGACCCGTCAGAGTGTTCACGGTCACACCATGTGGCTGCCCAGCTTTCCGAGAACGCAGCTGACCGCCGCAGTCTGCGGATGGCTGGGCACGGCACGCACAATGGAGTCCTGCGCGCACGGTGTGTGACTCGAGCTTCGCGGCAGCAGTGCATCGCCGTGGTCGAACGACTCGAGCGGAGGAGGAGGAACTGTTGCCAATGGCGCGTAGATGATGCCGGTGCAGCACTGCTCGGTCTCGTCGCCGGTTGGCTCTTCTCCGCTAGGAGGTATCTCCTGCAAAAAAAAAAAAAGCGTGGATATTTTTACCTGCAATTGGTGATAATGCGAGAGTTCAAGTCGAATCGTGTGTACGTACGTGCGTTTACGAATACTACTTCTGATACACTATATAGCAGAGGATGGTCACAGACAGAGGAGGGCACATTTACCATTTGATCTCTCGAGGATCACAAATACAATGCATTGTTAGCACCCTAGAAAACATGTGTATCACAAAGGGCGATTAGTAACATAGTTAATGTGCAGACACTGGTGCTTTTATGTATAGGGTGAGCTCTATGAGGCGTGAAAGCTGGATGCAACACTTGGATATGTATACCGCAGTGTGTTTCTACCATAGATATAGATTTAATGATGGCTATCGCTTTGCCAGCCGAGTATTGTTCACAGTTAATCTTCTTGATTAAAACACATTGCAACCTACTTTTATCGAAACCATTAGCTATTTATCAGTGCCACACAGACTTCGGCAAATATTAGCAGAAGCGCAGCTTCAACTTTAGCAGAAGAGTATGAAGGATGCAGAATATTAACGCTTTTTTAAATACTCACTGTCCACTCGAAAAGGCTTTCACGCACTAGATTTTTCTTTATCACGTGTGTTTAGTACATGACTACTCCAAAAACAGTTTTTTGAAACATTAGTCCCAGTTGCAGGCTGTTTGCACTGGCGCGTGCTCTGTGGCAAAAAAACCTTGCGACTTTGGTGCTTCGTACTCACAGTTATGGCGTGACCAACGTAAACATCACTCGTCGCCATGGAATGCCCGTCGAAGGTGGACTCGTGGCTTGCCGAATTGCAGAACTGCATGTCCGCCGAAGGGCCGACAGAGTTCTTTTCAGATGCTGCAAATAAAAGAAAAAAAAATGTATTCGGCGCATTGAAGGTGGTTGAAGCTGGAGAAAAAGCACAGTTAAATGACCCCAGGAAACAAAACAAAACAAAAAAGAGACTTGTATGGCACGTGCCCCTCGCCTTCAAGGGTCGGACACGACTGCATAATCGGGCACCATGCGCATCACCTTCTCAATGGCCAGCCTTGCTTGGCTTCTCGGCAGGTAATTCAACCGAGTCGCAGGGAAACAAACACCTGTGTAACACAGGCCGTTTCCAAACCCTTTTAGAATGCCTACTGCCAATACAGTTGCGAAGTGCCCCCTACGCCTCGCGTAATTCTTTTTGCGAGTTGGCGAAGTGACCACAACGCATTATAAGCTGCCAGGCACACACTCGTCACTGCAGGCTTTGTTGATGCTGTTCGCTGATGATGATTAATTATACCTGATCTTTTGTGACGGGTAGGCAACTTCAAACCACCCAATAGTTGGGAAAATCAAGTTTGGGAGCCTGGTGTGATCCTACGTTGCTCGTGCGCAACATTACACGCGTTAAAGAGTCTTCTTTTAACGGGTGACATTGGTACAGCGTTTTCTTCGGAAGCAGTTTCAAGCACTGGTGTGGCTCTGCGTTAGAACACTTGCTCTCCTCAGCCTGCGTTCGATACTAACTCGAAGCGAATGTCTTTATTATTTCATTTATTTCCATTTATATCGAAGTTTTGCCCTCGTGGTTTTGGGGCGCTAATATCAATCAATCAATTTTCGCTCTCGGACAACGCTAAAGCAGCGCCGACGCACGAATGTCTGCGAAACGAGCTCTTCAACGCTATCACGTCAGAAAGAAAGAGACGGGCAGAAAATACGAATGAACGAACCTGCGCAGAAAACATAGGAACTGTTTTTTCTTTCTTCGCAGGTAATGTCACCTTATGAGAAAAGTGCAAAATTACTTGCAGTAACTTTGAGCATATATGTTGCCGCCGCACTTGGGAAAACTGTGTGAATGTGACATTTCGTTACATGGTTAAATATATTTTTTTACTCTCCACTTCTGTATTTATATCCCCACTTTTCTTTCAACGTTGAACAGCATGTTCACAATTTCTATGCGCAGGCTAAATTATCTGCTTCTCAAAAAACGATTCTTTCCCTCTATGTTGTAGCGGCTATATTGGTGACTCCAAAACGTGCCAGCCATTTTGGCAACCTCCTATAATGCCCCCCCCCCCCCCCCCCAAAAATAGTGCTGTTTTCTTCCACTGAAAACAGTGAAATGCCAGAATATTTCGCAGAGAAAAAGAAATTTGGCCATGCGGGAGCCTTGCGAACCTCGAAGAATGTCTTATGAGTATGATTCGTGAGAAAAAAAAGATGTTATTAGAGTATTGCTTCTTGTTTTAATACCAAATTTGTCCTAATCATTAACTACTGGCGTATGTCTAAGGTCTTTGTAGATCAATAGTATTACTACAATTTTTCTGCCCCACACGCTTTCCGAAAATTTGCCAAAACGTTTCATGTTGGCATTTTTTCTTTTCATAATACTGTGTTATGTATGAATGTGTGACTAATGAACATGTGTTTTACATAAGATATATGTTGTGTATTTTGAATTGCACTGTCCTCAACCGTGCTCAGCTAAGCCTGCTCGGCCTAATACAACAGTATAAAATTGTGCACAGAAAGCTATAGGCTTTAATACAACAGTATAAAATTGTGCACAGAAAGCTAGGCTTTAATACTACAGTATTATTCATATCGAAGTGGTCGCACTGTTCACGTTTTAGTGATTAGGCTTAATTTTGATTGCGGAATAACTCTGGAACTATTAAACCTAGCCTGATCAAACTTCAGTAGCGTCAGGTCTACCCTAATGGACTTCAGCTTTATAAGTAAGAAGTTTCCCGGTAGAATATTAACGAAGCTACAAGCGATCGTAAAAAAAAAAACACGTGGTCCGACTGTTGTTGTTTTCACAGATTCACACTGTTTTCCGCTCCTAAAATTTAAAATTTTCGTTTGTAATAGCAGTATTTGTAGCGGTTGAACTCCTTGTATGTTCAGCGAACAAATAGACACCACTCTGACCCTCCTAGAACCAAAATTGCTAAAGTTATAGGTAGATATGTGCAGAGCTCACTTACCCGTGCTCCCAAGTAATCTAATAAGATGTTGTATAGCGTACCGGCTAGCCGCCGTCTCCGCCTTCGACGCCGGCGTACAAGGCAGGCGGCCAGCAGTCCGTTGAGCAGTAGCGTGGCGCCAGCCTGCCACGGTGACGAGCAGGTATTGCGCCACCGTCGCCTGACGTCCACCCAGTGCGTCCATCACTGCTCCGCTGTGAGGCCAGCTGAACGCTGCGAGTATAGACGTCACATGCGTCGGCTATGGCGTACGTAGTAGTAGTAGTAGTAGTAGTAGTAGTAGTATTTTATTTATAGGCTGTTTTCGTGTATTTATAAGCTGGTTTGTCGGCCCCTAATGTTTCGGTTACTGTCTATCTAAATTAAATGACAATCGCATTGAGCAAGCGCTTCATCATCATCATCATCATCATCATCATCATCATCATCATCAGCCTGACTACGTCGACTGCAGGACAAAGGCCTCTCCCATGCTCCGCCAGTTAACCCGGTCCTGTGCTTGCTGCTGCCAATTTATACCCGCAAACTTCTTAATCTCACCTGCCCACCTAACCTTCTGTCTCCCCCTAACCCGCTTCCCTTCTCTGGGAATCCAGTTAGTTACCCTTAATGACCAGCGGTTATCCTGACCAGCGGTTAAGCAAGCGCTTAACCCAAGCTAATTGCCTCAACCTTCTTGAAAGGCCATTGGAGTTCGTCACGTGCACACGAACTTATTCATGTAAATGATATTGCATATATATGGCTTACATAACCGCTGAAATACTTGGGCGAATAAGCCTCCTCTTCCCCTTCCGACTTCTCTTCAACACGACACAGACAGCCTCAACGATACAGCCTTACATTCAATGACGAGATGTCCGGAATAGTAATACTGTGTAGTAGCTCTCATACTGAGCACTCGCATTTGTCACGTTCGATTCGTATAGCATTTCGCACTTAGGTGCTTTGTGAAAGCTATGTGCATGTCGGTGAGCGCGCCGTTACCTCTCGTAGCGACAGCTGGTGACTCGTGGCTGAAGGCACTCTCGCCGAGCGCGTTGCGCGCCTGCACGCTGAACGCGTACTCGACGCCGGGCTCGAGTCCCGTCACGAGCAGCTCGGAGACGCCCTGTGCCGCGGCCGTGTGCTCGTAGCGGATGGAGCCCGGACCTCCGCCGAGCCTCCTTGTGCGCACAGCGGAACTGCTGCTCGAGTCCTCCGTCGAAGCCCGGCGACCACACGAGCAGCACGCTCGAGTGACTCACGTTCAGCGCACGCACCGCCGTGGGCGGCTCAGGTTTCCCTGCGCACAAGAATGAACGAGAGCCGGTGCACATTCGTGTTTCGCCGAAAGCGCGGAAGAGATACGATGCACCACATTGCTTCACCTCTCATCATCATCATCATCATCATCATCATCATCATCATCATCATCATCATCATCATCATCATCATCATCATCATCATCATCATCATCATCATCATCAGCAGCAGCAGCATCATCATCATCATAATCGTCATCATCATGATCATCATCACCAATATCATCATCATCATCATCGTCATCATCATGATCATCATCACCAGCATCATCATCATCGTCATCGTCATCATCATCATCATCAGACATTACGCGCAGTGCAGGGCAAAAGCCTTTTCCATGTTCCGCCAATCAACGCTGTCATGTGCTTTCTGCTGCCACGTTTTACCTTTTCACCTGCAAGGTTCCTAATTGTATCTATACCCACCTAATTTTTCCTCGTCCCTCTCATGCGGCCACTCCCCCTAGTTGTTTAAAAGGGGGGGGGGGGGAGGTGCAAGATCAGCCCTATACATTGGCATTATAGGAAAGGGGGACGCTGCGACATACCCTCACCCACTTCCCTCCTGAAGGGTACCCCGCGTACGCCTATTCATTAGAAGAAAGGGATCCCCGCAGCGGAAGATGGACAAAAGGGGAACTACCGACTGTTAGGGAAGCGCGCCATTGCCTGCCAGTATCAGCTGGCTGGCACGCAACTTCACTAAAGACACTGTCCTAGTAGTAAACATAACTGCCGCAAGTCTGATATCAACGCAAGAACATCCAAGAAAGCCCCATTAAGTTGCGCATCGCAAGAATTCAGTCACTGAAGATCAACCCTGTCAAACATGTTAGCAGCAAGAACAACATTGTAAACCAAAGCAAGAGCCTTTTTTTTTTTCATCCGGTTCAACTGGGGGTGGTGTCCACGTCCCCTGCACATCCTTCGACCTCAAAATTTCACTTGGCTCTCCCCTATTCATTTTTCGTTTTTAAACGGCATTGCCCGCTACATGTTTATGATGAGGGCTGAGGATTTTTTTTTTCATACCTCGCAATAAAGAATGTCAACGTTGTGTATAGCGTAGCTTTGACAACCGCAGAGCACTATTCTACAAAGGGTTCCTTTAAAGCGCCACTCACCAGGTATGACAATTTCGAGCTGACAAGCGCAATGCGTAGACGAGGCGTTCATGATCACGTCTGCCAAAATTTTCAACGCTACGCGCTGCGGAAATGGGTCAAATTTCAAGATGAAAACTGCTCCCCCTCCCCTCTGCCGCCGCACGCGTAGAGAGTGAGGGCATGACGTAGGCGTAGGAATGGCCCTACGCACACGGCAATGCAGTGACGTTGGTCCTCTACGTAGACGAGTCTGCTTTGACGTTGTGAACAGTATACCACGTGACATGGCAAAAATTATTTAACACAACATGCGTAGTTTATGTATTTGTTGCTTTAAAAGATTAATAAAACTTGAAATAAATAATGAGACACAATAAAAAACTGTGCGCGTTTTTCTTTCATTTTTTCCCGTGAAATGCTACGAGATGTGGGGCTAATGTGCCAGCGTTTCGCATGCATTCGTGTCCCCGCAGTCAGCGCATTGAGCCCACTACCGCCATGGAACGCTCCTACGCGTTCGCACACTCATTGTGCTCATCTACTCTACCGCGTCTAAGCCAGCGTTTCCAAACCATCCCGCAGAGACATGCAGCAGACCACAAAATAACGCTGGTCAACAAAGCAACGCTGCTCGCGTCCTCGGGTGTTGAACTTGTTTGGGCACGTCATGGGCACGTCATGCGCACGTCACCTCATGGTCGGATGCTAGAGAGGGTGGGGAAGAGATTTGGCTTGCGAAGGCTATGCGGAGGAGCGGCAAGGGTTTTGAGCTCGCCTCCTCTCACCCTCGTTTCGCGCCGCTTCAAAAAACCTGTTTTCTCCGCTCGATTGGAACCGATTGGAAAAATTTTTTAGGCAAAACGTTCCTCATTGGACACCCAACAACTTCCACTGTCTAACTAAAGTTCGGTATGGGGCCTGGTGAGTGGCCCTTTAACGAGGAGTTATCACAGGAAGGGAGTGAATTGTAAATGTATGCCATGCAACCAAGTCACCGAGTTTGAGAAGGGCTGATGAGGGCAAACATAAGGAACATGCTCAACAAGCTAACGGCGAACATTGATGCACGAGTGTGCGAAACATTGACATGCTCGTCAGACTCTTCGAGGGGTTGGTCGGTAAGGTGCTGTAACTGCAGAAATGCGCTCTCAGAGAATTAAGTGTGTGGCTCCAATTGACGCCGGTATCGGCGCATATCGCATTCAGGCAAAGCAAGTGATTTGGGCTAAACAAATCAATCGCTATATAACACGATTCGGCCTATAGGACATTGCCTTATGCTTTATAACACAACGCAGCTGCACATAGGTCGGCAAAACTTGTGGAGCTCACTAGGACTCACTCGTGAAATACATTTTGAGGTTTGAGCTCACTCGGACTTCGACTCATGAAACTTTTTTGGAGCCGGACTCACTCGTACTCACAATCAGGGAAATTATCTTCAGCCGGATTCGCTTGGCCTCAATCTCAACAAAACATTACTCACCCGGACTCACTCAGACTCACGACTCAATCTGAGGTTGAGTGAGTTCGGCTGAGTTGACTCATGAGTCCGTCAGCCTAGAATTACCTTCTTCGACCACGGTGTCAATGCTCTATAGGACCAATGCCTCACGTTATCGGCGCTCTTCTTGGTATCGTTGGACATTGTATTTTCTAAAACGAGTTCTGCGTGCTTCCAAATGACTTGAAAGAAATGACAGCATATAACATAATAATCAATAACCTCTGTAGAAGAGTTGCTGGGGGGAGGTCAAGACTCTCCTTACGTAATTCACACCTGCAATTATTAAATATTGAAATGGTGTGTAAACTAGCCTCCCTTGGAGTGCTTGCGAGTAGATGTGTGTAGAAGCATGAATCCAGGTAGGCTGATAGTATAGATGAAGATGACTAGACAGGACCTAAAGACGGCAAAAGAGAGTGGAACTCACTGAGACTCACCCAACAAACATATTTTGCGCTTCGAACTCACTCCGACTCAGCCTCATCAACATTTTCCTGCGCCGAACTACTCGGACTTACACTCACGAAAAGTTTCCTTAACCGGAGTCCCTCGAACTCACACTCACGAAAACATTGCTCACCCGGATTCACTCAGACTCGGGATCAATCTGAGTCTGAGTGAGTCCGAGTGTGTCGACTCATCAGTGTGTTCACAGACCTATGCGGCAGCATGACCTCCCAGCACCCAAATTCCTAGCCGACGGAAGCGCTTTCGCGCGACGTAATATTAGAGAGTTTTAGTACTGCGGAATGGTGCTACGTACGCATCACACAAGCGCCTCGCGTTACGTGGCGTCGTTTGCCACTAATCGGCTTTTAGTACGCCGTAGTACCCGCGTACGTAATGAGCGTGAAGCGTGTTGCGCCATCTGGTATATCAAAATAGAAGCAGGTGTTGTTGACAGCCAATGTGAGCCAATCCAAGTGTTATAGCCAGATTATGGCCATATTTTAAGCCACAGAGCCGGTCGGTGCTTGCCTTATATGCCGCCATTTTGCAAAACGAAGTCTCGCGCTGTCGCGAACTTGCTCGAGAGCGGCGCGATCAGCTCATACGTACGCACGCACGCATCTCATGCGTGCGTACGTAGCGGCTGCGTACGTAACGCGATACGTGCGCGTTGCGGTCTGCGCATGCGCACTACGCAGAACGTAGCGTCCTTACGTACGCAACGCCGCCACGTACGCAGCGTACGCAGTACTAAAACTCTCTATTGTGAGTTTAGTGACGTATTGTGTGAACAACAACATAAAAAAGAGCAAAAAAAGAATGCGAACAACTCTGTAGTTCGATAAGCCCAGGATGCTCAGCGTAGCATCCTGGAGAGTCCTCGACGTACCCCTGGGTAGCACCGTGAAGCGGGACCAGTCGGAGCCAAGCTCGTTGCGCGCGGTGCACGTGTAGCGGCCGTAGTCGCCGGACTCGACCCTCTCGACGGACAGCGTGGACCTCCATCGCACCACGTCCTCCTTCTCGCTGCGCACGATGCGCCGCGTGTCGCTGTCCAACGCCAGCTTGCCGAAGGACCAGACGAACGCGGGCGTCGGTGCACCCTGGGCTGCGCATGAGAGCGACAGCGGCCGGCCCAGCTCGGCCGCCAGGATCGTCTCGCGGGCCTGAAGCATGGCCGCCTTGACTGCGCCAGGAGGAAAGAACAAAAACAACGTTAGGTGCCCAGATTGCACTCTAGGGTTGTCAGAGTCGCTTTCGTTCATTAAATGGCCTAATTCGCTAAGTGGTATCCAATACAGTTTCGCTACTTTCAAGGCCACGTGTACACGTTTTGTAGTGCGTATACCCGCCGCGTTGGTCTGGAGGCCATGGTGCTCGATTGCCAACCTGAAAGTCGCGGGATCGAATTCCGGCCGCAGAGGCTGCATATCGATGAAGGCGGAATGTTTGAGGTCCACGCACAAAGATTTAGGTGCCCTCTGAAGAATCCCAGCTGGTCAAAGATTCCGGAGCTCTCTACTATACGGCGTGCCTCGTAATCGCATCATTATTTTGGGACGTTATACACCAATTATTACTAATATACCACGTAGCTCCAGAGAGGGTTTGATTATGTAAGGATGAGAGTTTTGATGGGTATCTTTGAAAAAAGTTCTATCTGTGCATTTAGTCAAAACTCACTATAAATAGCAGAAAAAAATTTCTTTGGAGTGCGCTGCAGTTTTACCCCGGCAGTGATTACCCTTCTGACGCCAAGCGTATGCGAAGCTTTGAGCTCACACTTGACGATCAGCCTGGCGGCGCGGGCGACGTGGTTTCCGAGTCCGTTGTGGGCGACGCACTCGAACAGGCCTTCGTCCTCCCTGGTGACGTTGAACACAGTCAGGAAGGCACGGCCACGCTCGAGCAGCAGCTTGGCGCGGTGCCGGAGGTCGAAACCCGGTCGTCGCCACCGCACCACGTCGTCCGTCAGCGGGTCCGCGTCCGCAGGCGCATGCCAGCGAGGCGTTCTCGCCCGAACCGGCCAGCACTTGCTCCGTTATCTTGGTGATGCGCGCAGGGTCTGCGCAGTCGTCGCGGTGACACTTTTCACCGGGAAATCGGCGAAACTTATGCGTTTCAGAACTAACAGCGCTGTTGGCCCTAAACTACATCAGTAATAAGAAAAGAAGAAAATGAAAAAAAAACTTTCAACGCTGTACGCCGCGATTTCCTTTTGGCAATACGATATAAGATTGTTCGAAAGCAACAGGAGGTGTAGATCTATAGATAGATAGATAGATAGATAGATAGATAGATAGATAGATAGATAGATAGATAGATAGATAGATAGATAGATAGATAGATAGATAGATAGATAGATAGATAGATAGACAGACAGACAGACGGATAGATAGATAGATAGATAGATAGATGGATGGATAGATAGATAGAGATAGATAGATAGAAAGATAGATAGAAAGATAGATAGATAGATAGATAGATAGACAGATGGATAGATAGACAGACAGACAGACAGACAGACAGACAGACAGACAGACAGACAGACAGACAGACAGACAGACAGACAGACAGATAGATAGAAAGATAGAAAGATAGATAGATAGATAGATAGATAGATAGATAGATAGATAGATAGATAGATAGATAGATAGATAGACAGACAGGACAGACAGACAGACAGACAGACAGACAGACAGACAGACAGACAGACAGACAGACAGACAGACAGATAGATAGATAGATAGATAGATAGATAGATAGATAGATAGATAGATAGATAGATAGATAGATAGATAGATAGATAGATAGATAGGCAGGCACTCACGCGCGCACGCATGTGGGCTGCTTGTTGTTATGACGTTGGACTGAATAGATAGCCCGCAAACTTTGAATTTCTCTAGTGTTTAACTTTGCCTCTCGAATAACAACAATACAAACCTAGAGAAAAGTACGATGCTCAAGTGCAGGCATGCTCATTTGGATGAATAGTTCGAGCGAGTGCTGACTCGTGTTTGACCAAAGATTAGGCCCCCGCTTTTTGAAAGTGCTGACTTATCTTCTTATTTTTAGCCGTTACTGGCGCTCCCGTTGAAAATAAAGCCGCTTTCAGGAAGTTCTGGGTGCGTGCGTTATTAATTCTATAAATTATGCACCACGGAGAAGTTAAAATGTACTGACTGTGAGAGGTCTGTTGGGATAATGCGTATTAATTTTAACATTAATAATTCAGTAGCCCGAAATTCAATACTGCACAATATAGATTTCTGACTGTTATCAGTACAGCACAACGCGAGGTAGATATATACGTAATATTTCTGTACAAGGCAGAAAAATATTTAGTTATGATCGCTCCCGGGCTTTGCTCAAAATGTGTGCACCCAGCCATATGCTTTATTGCGATGTTTTTAATTTTCAGTAAGTAATTTAACCTAAAAAAAGCTTTTCCTGTAATGTTGATGCATTTTAAACTATAGTTAGTTATATTTTGACTTCCTTTTTTTATGAGTTGCAATGTAAGAGAGAGAGTGAGAGAGGAAGGATTTATTAGAAGGTAGAGAGGTGAGGCTGTGCTAGTTCGCTCTAGCCTGCTACTCGCAATGTAGAAGTAAAAGAGCAGCGTATAAAAATTACTGTATTCATTACTTTCACTTGATTGTAAGAAAACTCAATTTAAATAGTTATAAATAAGCATGTAGTAAGTGTGAAAGGAGCGACGAGTAAATGAAATTTATGACAGCAAAAAGGGTAATGGCCTCTACTACTACCTCTGTTTCACTCCGCGCGTGAAATACTTGCACTTCAGGCATTGAATATACGCTATGCATTGAAACGCTATAGGCATTGAAATTCTTTATGCTATGTGCATGTATGGGTCCTTTTCGATATACTGGTAATCATATCTTTTAGATTTAAATTGGGATGTTTAAGGTCGTTGGCAGTTCCCAACTTGCAGGTCGTTCTTTGAAGTTCACCTCCCCTGACGTCACGCATGCAAGCTGCCATTTTAAGCCTCACTAACCCGGATGTTTTTGAGAAATGCCTGTTTCTCATGTCAAATAATTTCCTAACTAACCCATTTTCTCCTCTGTTGTGAAACGCTATTGGTATTGCTGTTAAACAGGGTTCGGCTGCATTTCTTGTATGATTGCACTTGTATCCCATATTTTCCCTGTAGTTCAGCTAACTACTACTGTTAAAAATGCACCCCTGCAACTGCCCTTCAATGGGCTCTGGGGTCCTACCTGTATATTATTAACAAACAATTCTATATATTTTACATGCAATAAACTGATTGATTGATTAATTGATATTAAATTACAGCATTGGAGCGCGAGCAGCTCGATGTAATTCTGATGGATGACTTGTTGCACGCACATGTCTATCTGACATGAGAAATTATTCTAGACAGCTTACGATCACCGTATTGCGTGAGTTATTAGTAGTAACACGTACCCGCCACGGTGGTCTAGTGGCTAAGGCACTGGGGCGCTGACGCGCAGGTCGCGGGATCAAATCCCTGCCGCGGCGGCCCCATTTTAGATAGAGGCGGAAATGTGTCAGGCCCGTGTGCTTAGATTTAAGTGCACGTTAAACAACTCCAAGTGGTTGAAATTTGCGGAGCCCTCCACTGCGGCGTCTTTCATAATCATATGGTGGGTTTGGGAAGTTAAACCCCAGCGATTGTTATTAATAGTTGTGACGCCTATTCTCCAGGCGAAGGCCGAGGGTCAGTGCGTTATATATTTTATAATCGGATGAATGCAAATTTGCTTTAATTAAGGCGGGATGGGTGGAGGAGGTGGGGGTTTCAGACAACTTCACTACGTTGCAGAAACAGTTGCTATGATGAGTCTTCCGTTCTGTTGCACACTTATTATCAGCTTGATGTCTATACTTCCTCTCACAGCTACCTTCCAGCATGGTCGAAGCATCGAGAAGCACATCAACAGTGAGCTTGCGAAACACATAATGTTGTACAGGGTGTGAATTTTTCGTCATTAACAACATACAATGGTTTGGGCTGTACTTAACTGGGGAGTGTTCATCAGGATTCTTTTTTTTTCGAATTTATTCGAAAACAGGAAGGGGGGGAGGGTGATTCTTGAGAAAAAAGAAACAAAGCCGTATAAAGGCAAGAAAGTTGGGTGTGGAATGTACGATAACTGTCTCTCATGCGAGGACACTTAACCGATACACTCACAGGGGAACGGGGAACGGGAAATGAAGTGTTTATCGGTTTCTATTTCGGATTTATTCAAAAACATGGATCCCTAAGTAAAGTGTATCAAGAAGGCCGGAAAGGAGAGTGAGGGATGAGAAGGAGAAGAGGGAAGAAGAAAGAGAGAGAGAGTCAAGTGTCAAATGGAAAGTATAGCGTCATGCCGAAGTATTGCGGCTTTTTTTTGTTAACACCATACTAAGAGAAAAGAAATCGACGAAAGAAAGTAAAAGAAAGAGGGGAAAAAGTTACGGTTGAAGCGAAAGTGAAAAGTACAGAGTGGGAACATAAATATGGAGAAAAAGACAAAAAAGTTATAAAGAGCTTGAAAGAGAAAGTAATAAAAATACCAAAAGACGAAAGAAAGAGACAAGAAATACAGGGACAGAGAAAGAAACAGGGACAGACAGAAATAGAAAAATAATCAGAAACAAGGAAACTACCTCTAGTTCTGCGGTTCATGCAGGCTGGGCTCCACTAGTGCAAAGCACTAAATTCTTTTTTCTTAAGCGGCCTCGCCGAATCTGTCAAAGAGATTCGCGTTGCACTCCTGCGACGACCTAGCCCTATACATCCTTTTGTTGGGACTAATTCTCATGTTAAGGTCGCGTTCGGCAATTAAATGGCTAGCGTTAACATTGGTTGAGGTGTTTTCTCACCAACAATTACGCTCCAAGAAGGTTTGGCGATTTGGGCATCATTCACCAGCCGTTCACAATCCCATATTAAGAAAGGGAAAGTAGACAACCACCCGTTTGTGCCACCATCGTGGCGCATGTTTTTCGGCAGTTAAGAAGCTCTTCTTTCTGAGAAATCAGCACAAATTTCCTCGTGGCTTCGTGCCACAAGCTGGTGGTTGTCTATTTTCTCTTTCTTAACCCTTCGGCCACATTGCGGGTCTCCGAAGAAATCATTCGGAACACTCTCATATCGCGGAGTACTTACAGTGAACCTTGACCACAACGGCGACCTTGGCCGATCCGACGCTGTTCCTGGCTTCGCATTCGTAGCGCCCGCTGTCGTCCTTCTGCGCGTTGTTGATGACGAGCGCCGAGGCGCGGTGGAAAACCCTGCGCGTTTCCCGCCACGACTCCTGAGGCAGCGGCACGCCTTCCTTGGTCCATGCGTAGCTTATCTTCGAAGGGTACGCCTTCGCGGACAAGTTCAGCAGCACGCTGTCGCCTTGCTTCACCTCGTGTTTTGCCACGGCCGGGTGCAGGAACAGTGGCTTGTCTGGGAAAACCAAAAGCAGAGGCGCGTCAGCGTTAGATTTCCGCCTGCGTTTACGTCATTGCGGAAGCGCAGCTGCGAAAATTTCGGCCCACCGAGGCGGCCGGATTTGAGACGTGCAAGGCACGTGGCGACGCTATTCTCGCCTTTGGCGACCACACTTGCCAACTGCTTCGGCACCCAGCTCTGAGTTGTTTAATAGCGACGGCCTCTGTAGCAGACCCGAAAGTCGCAATATCGAATTCTGACCACGGCGAGCAGATTCTTGATGTAGGCGAATATGCGCGAGGCCCGTGCATTTGTATTTGGGTACACGTTAGAGAACCCGGCCAGGTGGCGGAAATTTTCGGAACTTTTTTTACGCTGGCTCTCATAACCATATCGCGGTTTCGGGACGTTAAACCCGAATAATTATGTGTTATTAGACCTTTGTAGTTGGTGTCATTTGGTTAAACTTGTCTCTCAATGACCAGGTATTTCGACCATTTTATTGTTTTTTTTTTTTGCAGAAAACATTCGCGTGGTTGGGTCGTCCTTTTAAAGGGCCGTAACAGAATACTTCGAATGGACTTCAGAGGAACGAAACCCAATGCGTTTGCACAACGTGTGGACAGTTCTATATGTGACGTCTCCAAACAGCCTTGCGTATGCTAATGCCCGAACTTCTCTCACGTGTTCTGCTTTCTTTTGTGTTCATTTTGCGTACTTGCACATACCCTACCGACAGTATCCCTACAAGTTGACACCACCATCTCTTAATATTGCTAACGTACTGACCGCCAGCAGACGCCAATGACCATAACTTTTCCCAAGTTTTTATTTTCTCGGGCATGAAGTGTACTAAGCTTTCGTTTATATTATAAGCATCAAAACAGATATTCACGCTGTTATATGCTCACTAGGCAACAGTCCAAAAGTCAGTATTCTTAGCTGCTAGTGTAAGTTCCAAAAGGCCTGAATTAGTTACAACACTTCTGCGTCTTCTCTCATCACACCCTTTATTTCTTACACCCACAACGATCGGCTGAGTCAATCGGTGACTTAAGCTCAAGGTAAAGTGCTGTTGCCAAGAAGTATGCCTTGCACAACTTGTCTTAGCTGAACGTGCTTAAGACAGGAGACACACGAAGTGAGCCTGATTTTCGTTCTCAAAAAAGAAACGGTTAATAGTTATTGCAAGGTGACACACTGAGTGCGTGAAAAAAACAAACCCTAAAATAGGCATGGAACAGTAGTCGCCGTATAATCATTCTCGTATAATTCATTTAGGTAAGCTTTTTTAGATAGGTTTGCAGCGTTATGCCCCTATCCTTTCATATCAAATTTTCACCTCTGCGTTCTCGAATTTTCACCTCTGCCATCTGGCACATGATCAAATACGCAATCCATTGATTACTGCTATAGCATGACTACAAAAATCAGTGTCACTTCAAGGGCTAAGGAATGAATGTGACGGCCATGAACTAGAATGTTATAGGGAGAAAGGATAGCGGATGACTCATGTGGATCAGAACTAGCGTATCGCTACAAAACGCCGGCTTAAACTCATGCGGCTGCTCCAGAGAGAAGTGCTTTTCGTGTAGCCTGCTTTCTCAACAAAAATTAAGCTGCGAGAGCACAGCGCGTATACAAACCAAACTGTCATGCCTGTCGAGACGGCACACGCGACCACTTACTAATGAGCAAATCTCGAACTTGTTGCTCAAGTGATGGTGAACTGCCTATAAGCACCTATAAATACACGGGACGATACGACGACCCCGACAGAAAGGAAACCCGCCGAAAGTGTCCATGCAATTGATATCGGAGTAAATCGTCCGTGCAGCGCATTCGGCATCACTGACAGCGAAGCAAGTGATTGGCGCTCGGTTCGGTGACGAGGTCTTTTATTTACTGCGGCAGATTGGGTCCCTTACGTCGCACTCTGAGCGCCACGCTCCTGGTGGCCGCCGGCTGAACCTGGTTGGAGGCGAGGCAGGTGAACGTGGCGCCGTCGTCGGCCGCCGTCACGTTGAGCCGCAGTCGGCTGCGTGTCGCCTTGCCGCCGTGAGGGGCCGCCACGCGACTCTGGTGCTGGCCGGACAGGCTGCGACCGTCGCGCTCCCAGCGGATACTGCTCTCCGGGTTTGAACTGCCAGACTCGCACGTCAACACCACCTACCGGCGAACGAATGGTGGATCACATAACTCTTTTTTTTACCTAATTGATGGCACCTTCATAAGATCGCTTCACAGAACTGCACCAATACATATCATTGTAGAAAACATCATTATGAACGTACTGACGCGACAATGTTCAGCTGGCGGTTTTCTTTGCATCAAATAGTCTTCGAGCGCCAAGAAAATGTGCTTATAGTCGTGAGTGCGTCTGAAAAATAAAATCACGACATGTTTTTATAGCTAGTTTATGTTACTACTGTACCCTGACCGTCACGAAAAGGTACGAGCTTGTCGCTCTACGGGTTGGCACAAGATGTCGTAACATTCCCATAGCCGCTCCGCTGCATAGTTCCACAAAGAAAGCCGTCATGTTGAATATTTTGGTGAAGTGAAAGCAGTAGTTATGCATACTTCATTGCCTGACGTTATCAAAGCTGGCCAGATTGGCTGGTGAAATCGCCAATACTGACACCATCCTACCTTTAGTAACACCATTGAACATGTCAATGGGTGCACATCGCTAAGATAGACTTTAATACCAAGATAAAACACCTTACAAGTAGTTAGTTTCGCACTCGCTCAGAGCCACGTCTGTAAACGGGAGACTTGTGTCACGGAGTAATCTCATTTTCAAAAATGTGTGTCAGTACCTCTGTAACGATGTGTTTATCGCCACTCCTTTTCTTTTGTCATCGAAACTTTTGACGAGACGTGTATTCGTACGCTTTGCGCTGCAGCTCTTATTTGAATTTCTCAATCGTAAATGAAAACGTCTTTGGGCAATCAAGCTTCTATTTTTTCCTTCCTAACTCTCATATTTATCATGCTCTAAGTGCTGAAATGGTTCTTCATTTTCGTTTTCGTTATCTTTGACAATGTTATAAGTACGAACTGATAAGCTCTGCTTAGTCGTCAGAGATAAATTTCTGCTTTTGTAAGGCCTAAAGAAAGATCACCTTGGAGAGTGGCTATTGGTTCAATAGAACGGAAAAGGCGCTCTAGACAGCCTAAGATTGACATGTAAACGACTGTTTACACATTGTTGCGATGATAAGACTGAATCCGCCTGGAAGCAGCGGCACAGTAACGCTTTTATGTCGATGCCTAGCTTAGCATCTGCTCTTCAGCAATCACTGGCTTGACGAAGACAAGTCCTATTACTGAGACGTTACTTCAAGACAGTCCTCTCACTGTTCAGTATACAGCACACAATTTTTTTCTTTGTAGAAAGGTAAAGAGCAAAAGAAAGAGCACTTCTCTTTATCGACTGTTGATAATCAGTAAAGATGTACTTCTAGAATACGAGACCTTATATCATTTGATATTCAGCCATCGTAATTCCGCATTCATACGAGTGTAGGTTGACTCATTTTATCCTAATTAGTAGTTAATATCGGTGTAGTTAATATCAAAACCTAAAGTAGTTCAGGTTAAAGAGTTCACTTACAACTGAAACCAAAACAACCAAGAAATCAAGCATGGAGTGACATGATTATGACATTATGTTTACGTTTTGGTTCTACCTGTAAGATACGCGTGTACTATATTTTCTCGCGTGCAACCCACTCCCGTCACACCGATTCGTGGAAGGGATTCTAAATATGAACCCTGGGCATTGCCGCAAAGCTGGCTTTTTTGCAAGGTGTATAACGTTGACGTGAAGCCACCTTTGCACCAGAATTCGAGTTCGATTTCTTCAGCGACATCGTAAATAAATGTAGCTAAAGTGGTTGCTTGGGTGAGATATATATTTCACATAAAAACAGCTCCAAAAGTCAGATGACCAGCAAAAGAAGAAAACAGACAAGCAGCGCTGACTGGCAATTTTATAAGCAAGTGGTTATTAGTCAATGCTCCCATCTTTGTCTTTGTTTTACTTGCCCTCTATTTTTTAGCTGCTTGTATGTGAAGTGTATTGTAAATACGTTTCCCTAGAGAAGTGCGCCCACACTTTGCTTTGCCGACTCATTTGAGGGGATCGACCTAAAATCGAGCCGAGTTACAATCGTATAAATACGGTATGCACTTCAACTGGCTTAATTTAGTAATAAGGTTTCATTTCTGCGATACGCGGATTTCTAACCATGCTGTAGGTCTGTCGAAGACACCGAGGGGAATTTTCGATGGATAAAAGTGAGAGTGGTGACTCACTGTGAACACTGTCGTTATAATTGGGAGCTATATATATATATATATATATATATATATATATATATATATATATATATATATATATATATATATATATGGATGCCCCCACGAAAGTCAGCTAAAGAATGAAGCGAGAACTTACGCGAAATATTTTCATTCCACTGTTATCTTCTGTTTTTTTCGACCTCGGGCACGCAACTAACAAGTGCTCGCATTATACAGACGACCTATAAGCTTACTTGAACGAAAGTTCTTGCATACGGAGAAAAAAAATAACAAGAATATACAGAATATTACAGAAGAATTTTAAATATGTCCTCATTAGCATCGCATAGTCGTAAGCATTTCAATATAATCAAAATTCAAACACAGGGCTCAGCAATCCGTATTACTGAAAAAGGCTATGGTTAAAAGTTCGCAATGTAATTCTCAAAAAGTCTGACGCAAGCACGAAATAATCTTGCGTGGGGCTTTAGAGAATACCAACGCAAGGTCATTATGCATGGAAATGAGTCGCTCAGGTGGACAGATTGCCGGCCAGGTTTACCAGACAAAGCCGACTGGTAGCAACCAACATCACAATTACCTGGCAAATATTAGCTTACAAATTGTAAAACCTAATAGAGAATTCACAGTGATGTACGACTTCATGTAGGCGATCAATTTTCGAAGCATATTTGCTAGGCGGTATCTTTTTACAAAACTTTTTAGGCAATTCTTGCAATAGTAAAATACAGAAATTTTACTGTTTCTTCCAAATTAGACAAATCAGTTTCTAATCGGCATAACGTTTCTATCCAAGGAGAAGATATGCTGGTACTACTTTACCGAACCAATCATGTCATAAAAAATGGCAGCATATACACGGAGTGAATGATGGAGAGTGGGGCAAAGCATCCGTCCGTCCATTCGTTCTTGCTTCCGTCCGTCCATGCGTCCGTCTGAGTGACCGTCCGTGCGTCCATTCACCCGTCCGTGCGTGCGTGCATCAGTTCGTGCGTCCGCACGTCCACATGTGCGTCCGCCCCTGCGTTCGTCCTTGAATCCACCCCTGCGTTCGTCCATGAATCCACCCCTACGTCCGTCCATGCGTCCATCCGTCGGTGCACATATCTGTGAGTCCGTCCATGCTTCTGTCTGTGTGTCCGTTCGTCCATCTATTCAACACTCCAAGTACCACCATCTCGCATCTTTTCATCATACGGATGGATGGATATGGCTGTACCCTTTAGATCGGGATGATGGAGAGTGTATTCCGCAGATGCACCGCCATCCAGCGGACATTCCAAGGACTAAACGAGAGGTGGCACACGCACACTTCCTTACAGCTTGCGCTTCGGGTCTACTTCTCACCTTTAACCACCTCGAGTTCATGGTATATACTAGTTCACTGTATTTATGGCACGGCGGCCCAACGCTCGCTAAACCTTTCTAAAACCAAGGAGGTTACGGCCAGCGACTATAACGTAGCAACCCTTTCTTGTCAGATAGTGCTCAATGTACATGCCAATGGCTGCTAAGGGGGAACGAGAGACAGGAGAATTCGACTTTTAGTTAACACGCACGCTGCGAATTTTTTATTGTTCAACAACGCACAGAAGATATCTCTCACCGGTGCCACCTTGGAGGTCGAAATATAAGACTGGTTACACACTACGGCTACTACTACAACTACGAGGGACGAACGGGGTCGCTATAAGGAGCTTCGCCCCAGTTTGCAAGAAACTTGCCTGTTTCGACCCTAAAATTCGATGACGCAGGTAGGACTCAAGCTGTAGGTGTTCTGCTCACTCATGATGGGCGCAGTTGTCAGTAATGTTATAGGCTACAAAAAACAAACAAACGAACAAACAAACAAACAAAAAGCTCGATGGACGCTTGGTCTTCGCTCTCAAAAGTAAAACGTGATAGTGTATGCGAATCGAGTTTGTATCACCTTCACAATTACTGGCCTGGCTTCACCGCAACAAAATCCAAAGTGCGGCCACCCTCCGAGTCCAATAGCCATGCATTCGACGCAACAAAATACGGCCACACAGCCGGGTGGTGCCCCTTAAAAGTTAGTCTATGTGCTCTTTGTAGCATCTCGTGGGTCAAGCCGCTGAAGAATCTGCGATGTGCGTACCAGAAACTCTAAATGAGCTTGTCGTTAGTACGCTAGAGGTCATATGAGTGGTAAGCGAGTGGTTAAATGCTTCGCGCCAAGGATCAGGTGGTCGCAGATTCGAATAATTGGTTCCACTCAAATCAAACATTCTTTTTAATGTATCTTTATTCGCATCTGCCTCGATTTCTCACCCACGGACAACGCTGATTTTTTACTCAGAACTAAAGACACCGTCGCCGCTGATGTCGGCACCAGTATTTCTACAAAAGGCGCTATTGAAAGCTGTCGCGTTGATATATGTTGCTGGCAGAGTTAGGTGTATTGCGCTATACGAACAGCAACACAAAAGTGGGCTTCTCCCTGCAAAGCGTGTTTTTGTAAAGAAGCAAGCTTTACAGGTGAAATTGTAATAGAAGGACGTTCGCCATAGTTCGTAAGTACTACGTACAAAGAACGACTGAAAGAAAGAGAAGCTATGAGTAAGAGGGAAAAAAAAACTCACATTCTTCCGACTTACTTGCCTAATGTGCACGTATTTATATCATATTTCTAGTGTTAGCAGGCAACCTAAGGTAGCCATAGTGATGTTGACCTAATATATGCGATTTAAGAAATACGATCTCCTAACAAATGCTCACTTTATAAGCTTCGAATAACAATAACAACTACAACGAAAACGAAAACCCAAGCTTTTATGTATAGCCACAAATTTTTATATTAGTATAGCCACGCATTTGAAAAAAATATGAATGTCGTAAGTTTTCAAATTACATTGCACGCAAGTTGCAGCCAACGCACACATGCGCTAGCCCTTACGTACACGACTTTTCTCGCTCCCTGCTTAACAGTGAAACACAACTTCGCAAAGAAAAGAACATAAAAAATTCGGCAGATCTCACGTACCTGGAAATCGATGTTATGCGAAGCATGCTGAGGGAAGGTGACCGTTTTGCAATTTTTTTTTAGTGAAGCGACACGTCATGAAATGACGCTAAATATATGTACAAATGTTGCACGTATAGACGTATGCTTCAAGAGTTGCAGATGTTTGAATAATCAGTTGTTTGTACTTCCACAAAGATGTCATCTGGACATGCATATTAGCAACGCCAGAAGCTGATGTGAAGTGCTGATGCTCGCGAAGATGCTGGCCCTGGACACTGCTTCATAATTGAACTTCAGCACATGGTAACTAACCACAATTGACGTTAATCTAACGTTATGGCTTTATCAAAGGTGTGCATATCTAATGTTCATAAAATTGGGTACGCAGCACTGCAACCACAATTGACGTTTCACGAAGATTAGAGTTTATTTGAAAAGTAGTTCCGAGAGCTGGTGTAGCTCTGTGGTAGAATGCTTCATTTCCACGCAGAATGCTTTGGTTCGATTCCAACTAGAGCCCTAACATTTATTCTGCACCTTCGTTGGGTCGGCGCTACCAATGTCGGGTATTTCTTAACGATCACGTGTTAAAATTGTCCATGTGTATTCTCGTCGTTCCTAGGTAGCGACAAGGGTCAATCACCTGTGGCACATACTTGCATACCAGCGGCACATACCCGCCCGTATGTGTGTGCCACTGCCTGGCGGGAAGTGTTTGACGACGTGCGCGAGTATATTGTGACATTATTTATGCCTTGATTAGCGCATACTATCATCAAACAATCTTACCATCTATTGTTAATTTTGGTTCACGCCAAGTTAAGAGGGTGACCACGAGAGCACCTATACGTAAGCGGCTAGATAGATAGATAAATACGCTGAATGTTCACTAAGAAATATTTCACATTTAGAAAGCAGGGTTTCCCGAAAACGCCCCTCAAGAAAGTGATAATTGGCAGCCCAAGAGTGAAGCATGAGATGGGTGTACGTCAACACCTTTTCAAAATATCACACCTGTGGTACCCTAATGTATTTGCATTCTCAATGAAAGAGTATTTCTTGCTTATGTACATCGCACACAGAAAAAAAAGCTTTGATAATTAATCAAGCTTTTTGTTTTCTAGCGTACTGAAATGCACATTTTCTTTAGGAGGTCCCTAAACAAGGAGCCTCATTTACTCTATAGTTAAAATATAAAGTTTGACAGCTACCTGCCCGCTGGTGAAATGTTTAATGTAAACGCGATAGGATACACCAGCCAAAAAGAACACAATGTTTAATTATAAATCCAGTATGTATGATCCATCCGACTTTTGACAGATCCATCTTAGTGGGTAGGTGCCAATTATCCAAGGATCATCATCGTCGTCGTCGTCATCATCATCATCATCAACTTCACGTTTCGACAACCCACATGGGAGCCTTACTCACAATCTGTGAACAAAGCTCCCTTAAGGGGTGTCAAAATGGGAAGTAAGCATTGTGTTCCTTTTTGGTCGGTGTATCCTATCACAATTACACTGTACGTTATAGTTAGTACGGTAAATATATTTACAATGTAAAGCTTTAAGAATGCGCGCCACTCACCGTGTCGCCTTCCTTGGGAGTCTGGGGAACCACCGTGATGGAAACAACTTTAGGAGGAACTGTGATACAAAAATGATGCGTCAATTTTTATATGTCATTATCCAGGCAGAGGCAATTATAATTACTCAGTGCGAACTACAACTGTAAGAGAGTACTCTAAAACTAGAAAATCAGCTTGCAGCTAGCCTCCTTTCTTTATGAATATCAAAAAGGTCAGAGGAAGCATCCGTTCAATGCGGGATTTAACGTTCAAAAACAGCGCAATGGGTTACGCTATGGCAGAGTAATTATTTTATGAGAAATGCATTGTGTTATTGCAATGCAGTCTATGCAAGCAATCCGAAGCGTTTCTGCATTTCGGCTCTATTTCCCTACAGCTACCATAGCTGGAACCAAACACGCGATCTTGTACTGAGCAGCGCAGCATCTTTTTTAAGAATCGAAACTCTGATGTACAAGAGTAACGTGGTAAAACAGGTCAATCTTTTTGTAAAGCACACGCTTTTATTTGGACCTGAGGGCTCAGAAATAGCCGTAATCTCGTAAGTTGATAAACATGAGTATTCATATAGATTCTCACGAAATATAGCTATAGCACAACCGCATCTTAGGTTAATAAGGTCTGAAAAGAGTGGGCATTTGGTTTTCCTGCAGTCAATTAATATAATTACCTTTTAATTGATTGGCGGAGAGTTCACGGCTCGCTCTGTTCTCGACGCAGTTGCGCGTTGTTCCCGCTTATGCGATGTTATTTGGAACATTATTTCATCCGGTATATATAGTCGTTCTCTTTCTTGCACAGTCTGGCGGCAGCCGAAAATGAACGAAGTTGAACGAAGTCCCACTTACACAGAACCGTCGTCTTGACTGACGTCGTAAGAGGTTGCGTTGTGGCCGAATTGGAGGCCTTGCAGTGAAACGTCGCCTGATTGTCGTCGGGCTGAGCCATGATTTCCAACACACTTGACACTCCGCTTCCTGTGACCGTAGACAGCGATGAGTACTGAAAAAAGAAACAACAACCAGGTCCCGATATAGAAAGATTTGCGCATTGCAGTTTACAGTTAATGATCCACGGTGTTTGTCAGTTTAAACTCCAATTGCGGTTCAGATAAATAGCCTGCTTTGCATGGCCAATGTGCGAGATACTTGATACAAGGCTGATACTCCGTGCATGGGATTAGTCCACAGCCTAATGTTTCGAATTGATTGCTGAATATTTTCTAGATATCACGCATATATTTATTGCGTAGTGTCCTGTCCCAATGATAGCAGCCGACATAACGCTACGTACTCACTAAATTAAACAAAAGAATATTATAAAGCTTATACACGTCTTATCTTTTGTGGGCGAAACAGCTAAGCAACTGCCTTGAAAGGAATGATTGACGTGAGCATTTGGGCGTGTTCGTATTTCGTCGCCAAAAAGTTCACAGCGCGAAAAAAAAAAAAAAAAAAAACGCGAGCGGACGAAGATAGTCCGTGTCGCCTCTATTCGTCTAATATTGTTTTTCTTCCCACACTGTAATATCTTTTTTGACCTCAAATGAAGCACGTAACGATGTGATAGTCACGCAATTTATGTAATCAACACCGAGTGTACTCAGACGTAATGCGGCACATTCAGCTGCCTTCCGGGCGAATGTGTAGACGAGAATGTCGACGTTACCTCCTTGGTGCCCTTGTACCACTTGACCGATGGAAGCGGGTTTCCTCCGATTGAGACGCACTTGATGCGCTGTATCGAGTTGGCCACGATAGGGGTGCCTTCGTCGTAGCCGATTATCACAGGCGCGCGGGGGGGATCTGCGCAAGGAGACAGCCGCCACGGTTCGCCTCATCCGAGGTTTAGACATGACATGTTACCGACACCACAGTATGTCAAAGACTCAAGAGATAATCTTAACGTCACAGTCAGTGCTGGAGACGTGATGACGTGTCTTTTATCTCGAAGCCAATCAGTAAGAGATTCCTTGGTAATAAAAAAAGTTACTGCAGGCACCCCTAAATATCAGAGAACATGCTCATTCATTTCGAGTGCCACGTCTAATCTTATCGCATCAGCACTTGCAGTATGCGAGCTTGCAGATAATCGTAGCAAAAAGGCCGCAAGTATTACGTGAGCACAAGGGTAGATATAAGCTCAAATTTTTTTTGATGGCGTGCTACTTGACAAACGGCCACAAATAATCTACACTCACAATCAGCACTTCGTGTCTTTCCTGCACTCACTAATTACGGAAACATCGACACCTCATTGTACAATACCCATTATCATTAAAAAAAAACGACGCGAATATTTGTTTGGCTTTTTTTTACTCACGTGTAGTGATAAGTCTGAGCTAAGACTCGGGTAACATAAATGTTCAAGTTATACATTTTAGAAATGGCTGACAAGCAAAAAATATTAGCTTCGCAAATCTACCAGAATTCTCCCAGTAAAAATGATTGGAGAACAATTTTTCTCAGCGTGGCAACGTCATCAATAACACCGATTATTTAGCTAATAAAGAGAAAAAAAATGACAAAGGTACATCTGAGTCACTTGTAAACACATTTGTGTTTGAGTGATGCACACTGTACGTTTTCTTGCAAAGTGAACTGAACTCTTCTCACCAAAGTGTCGAATGTTGTGTTGTCTTTTCTTTATTTCTTTCAGTTTCTTATTATTTATTTATTTTCTTATTTCACGCTAGGCTTTGTTTTTTTTTTCAGTTAGATAAGGTATAGAAAACGAGTATCCAATCCGCTATACAGTTAATTGATTTTGCAACAAACACGTTGGAACGTAACAGAACACTTCAGTCGTCGTTTGTGCAAAGTATGATGACGACGATGACGACGACGACGACGATGACGATGATGATGATGTCGTTGTTGATGGTGATGATGATTATTATTAAAACTTTATAAGAGTACATAACAGGCTTTCAACGAACATTTCTTGGATGCAAATTGTTGGGTCCAAAGAAAGAAGGCATTGTGAAAGGAGGCGTCTTAAGGCAGGAAGGTTAACCAGAGTCAGTTCCAGTCCGCTAAGTGCCACAAGAGTTGGCTATACCTTTCTGGTGCAGAGCAGGGCAGCCTAATAGGTGCAGCTATGGCTGAGCGCCTACCTTTCTTTGGTCCTCCTTTTCTTCCTCTACCCAGCACGAGGGGAAATAAGAGGCAATGACTGCAATTCACAAAGACGACGTTGGGTGAGGACGGCTCGTAAGAGTAGATTCCCGCCAATCATGGCGTCGGAGGTAATATTAGCGAAGGCCATCGTCTAATGGCAAAAAGCCTTGCAAACAAAAATTTCTGTAACTTGGCTCCAGGTGACAAGATTGCAGATGTGATCACTTTCGACGCGGCCTTGCCAGGCTGCGTGACAAGGATACGCCAGCCCCGCGGAGAAATGGACACGCGGCCTTGCCAGGCTGCGTGACAAGGATACGCCAGCCCCGCGGAGAAATGGACATTGATGAAAAATCATGTCTTACATATGACTTTGACGGTCACCGTTTGGACGACTGTTGCCTGCAGCTTGTTGTTTTCCGCTATACACGTGAACGACTTGACGTCGGGATCCTGCGAGAGAAAAAAAAAAGGACAAGATAATAAAATTTGGATGAGTGCCTCTTGTTCTATGGTGCTTCGGGTCATACCTTATGACCAATAACTATAGCTGCCCCATTTGGAGAATAGCGTTTTTCCTAATAGGCGATTATAGAGTGACAAAGCATTGAGTTGTATACAGCGATGTTACTTAGATCCATGACGAGCACTGGCGCGACTTCGTTCAGTATTCATTCATACTGCGGTTCACGCAGGACTGTTGAAAGATTGGGATTGGTTGTATGTGAACAACAAAATGACAGAACGATGTACTCTAGGCCAACAAATCAGGACAATTCTAAAGCAAAAAAAACAAAAACAAATTTATGAACAACGTGACTACATTTCATGAAGTATCGAATAAAATTGATTGACCTCTAGATAACCTGTCCTGCCGCTTAAAGAACTACAGGGAAAAGGCACTCGTGGTAATCGTGAACCGACGTGCTGTGCAGTGAAGTAGAAGCTGCTGCAGCATTCTTGCTGTTTCGGACAAAAAAAAAAGTGTTTCCCTCTTAAAACGAAAGTTATTCGTTTAAAAACTTATGTTAAAATTACAAATAAAGCAGACTTAGAGACGTATTGACAGCGTATTTACTTGAAAGGCCTCTAGACGTCTAATGAAGCCGCAGTTTAAACCAATTTGCTATTTCTGCAATATTGGAGTTGGACACTTGAGATTTTGTGACCATTTTGTTACTGTATGAGGAAGGCTGTTTGGCACAAAAGCGACAAATCTTTATGCTGGGGTTTAAAAGTGCTTGCAGGCGTTTGTCTGAAGGTATGGGTGTATGGACTCATGAGGAAAGTGCAATTTGTTTCTGCGGTTCGAATGAATCTTTCATCCATCTTTCATAGGAACTCACGCGAAGATACATGATCTCCGCAGGGTAAGTAAGCGGCAGCAGCTTCACGCTATTACAAAAATATATAGATAGCTGAGCAAGCAGGCCCTTATAGCGTGTCTTGACAGGGCTGCGGGCATACCTGCCTTGTCAACGTGATGGTGAGGTTGGAAGAGGTGATCCAGCCGTTCTTGTTCTGCACCGTGGACTGGTCGGACGCAGGCTGCACGGCGCGACCGTCCAGCTGCCAGGAGACTTCGGCCGCCGGGTTGCTGGGCGCCGTGGTGCACGACACGGTCACCAGGTCGCCGGCTTTGGCCTCCTTGGGCGCCGTCATGAAGACACGAGCGGGGGGAACTGCGGGTTGGGTCAGGGTGCGAACGCAGGCAGAAAGTATGTCTCGCCCAAAGGTAGCGCATGTTACATATCCTATCGTGCTTACAAACACGTTTTGCGAATAGTCCATGACTGTGCTATGGCCGTCATAGATGCACAGGAGAAGCATGGAGACAAAAAAAAAGTGCGATTTTGTCTGCGACTTCCTGCCGATTATTTCTTGTGGTGGCTTCGCAGGTGAAAAACAAGATCATACCAGAGCTTCAATCACACCAGTTGCGAAACTCCCCATAGCCTCCATTTATCGAAATCCGGGTACACCGTTGCTCGAAATGGCGAAAGCGTGCAGATTGTTGCGTCACTTGAGAAGGAAAAAAATTGAACTAATAAATACAATATTTTTTTGCGTTGTTGCTCCCAGATGGCGTGACCATCTGTCAACCCGTGAAGCATCGTACAATTGCGTGTCCGGGTATTGGAACTCAATTTCGCAACTGGTATGATTGAATACCTCTGGATGTAACCCTGCTGAATTCGAGGGCGTGGGTTTGATTCCCGACCTCGTAGAGTGAGTTTTTATGAGGGTGAAATGAGAAGAACATCCGTGCACTTCGATTGATGAGCACGTTCAGTCCTGCATTCGACTGTTGGGATTTAGTCAGGGAAGTCCCGCACAAAGCCATGCCTAATAATCGCATAGCTGATAAAGCTCGAAGCAAAATGTCGGCTGTCCGTAAAAAACCCTCCACGCCGTTGTTTACGCGCCGCAGAGACACTCCGCGCTGCATGCCGCCACGCCGAGTTTCCCGGCGATAATAATAATAATAATAATAATAATAATAATAATAATAATAATAATAATAATAATAATAATAATAATAATAATAATAATAATAATAATATAATATAATATATAATAATATATAATATAATAATATATATAAGTATTATTATTATTATTATTATTATTATTATTATTATTATTATTATTATTATTATTATTATTATTATTATTATTATACATTCTCCCTCTTCGTTTTGAAGCAGCTGTACGTTCACGTATTTAAAAATGGTCGAAGCATCAATAAAATGATCATATCGATCCGCAGAAAGGCACGTTCAGAAGTTCTAACGATATTGCCTAAATGTCTATGCAACGGAAATATGCATACCCATAAAATTTAATATAGAGAGGTGTTGAATATGCTGCAAGTTTGTCATTACCGGCCACAAGCCACTCATCACAGGCCGTGGCACAATGTTTAGGCACTTACGCGATTGTTTCAGAGTGTTATGCTAAGATAACGCAGAGGACGCGAGTAACCGAGTTCCTTCTAGGCTTAACCGTCGAGCAGCCGTGATAACGCTGGCAGTTTCGATAAGGCACGTATAGAAGAAGAAATGGTAGAGAAGGAAATGCATTGAGGTTAACCAGTTCAGGAAGTCACGCGTGGTGGTGGTGGTAGTGGTTGTGAGGAAGAGGAAAAAGGCACCTAATTTCTGTCTGCCTTCAGGCGACACGTCACAGTGCCTTATAGGGGTTGGGGGAAGGAGGGATAGAAAGAATAGAAGGAAAATAGATGAAGAAATAGACAGGCAAGCGACGGGGAAAAAAGAAGGAGATAGGAAAGTGGGGATCCGGTCGAAGCAGTCCAAGGGCGGGGCGCCACAATGCGAGAGCTGCACGGCGTCAGGAGACCGCGGAGGGCGAACCAGTCGGCGGGAGCTACGCTTGGCGTAGGAGATCGCGAGGGCACAACCGTCCAGCTTGAAATCCTGCGAGCGAATCCCCGCGTACGCGCTGCGCCGGACTATATCTAGTCCTTTAGCCAACATGTCGTAACAGGAAGGGGAAGAAAAAAGAGTGGAAAGAGAAAGAAAGATAGCACATAACACCGCACATACACAAACACGCAGTTACCGCCGTATTCTAGAACGTCCCTTGACTCAACGCTTCACTTTGACTTGAAAAAGTCGATCGGAGCGCCATCTTTTAGCAGACGAAGCCACTGCATATCGGCTATAATCTGTAGCGTTTCTTAAGAAGTTCAACGTCAATTTCAGTCAAACAGCGGCGCAGTGCTCAACACAGTCAAGTGAAGGATGAAATTTGAGTCGAGGAGCGTTTGTGAATACGGGGCTCAGCCTAGTACCACGCCAGACATAGAAGCCGAAGCATTTCACAGACGAGATTAGTCGGCGCCTGTGTTCACCGCTATCGCTGTACAGCGACCATTGAACGCGTGCTTCGACTTTATCTTTTTCGTAAGCACAGGTCAGCCTAATGCATAGTTTTTTTTTTTTTTCAAATCTAAGTGCTTGCATTCTGCGTGCTTCGGAGTCACAGCCACGTGACAGATACTCACAGAGTACGCTGAGCGTGACCGATGCCTGCGAAGGCTGCAGTGTGACCAAGTTGCTGGCCTCGCATCGGTACACGGCGTTGTTGTCCGCTGCCGTCACGGTGAACGTGTAGGCGCTGGTGGCCTCGCGCGAGGCCGCCTTGTAGCGCGCCCTCAGAGGCCGGCCTTCGCGGCTCCAGGAGAGCGAGGCCGGTGGATTGCCGCCGCGCGAGATGCAGGCCAACGTGAGCGTGTCCCCGACCTGCACGATGTCGCCCTCGTGGTAGCCCTCGATCTCCGGAGCACCGGGTGGATCTGCGACAGGGGAGATACTCGGTAATGGGCTTTTTCTTACCAGCAAGCCACAGTTCATTTAGGTACTGCAGCACTGGTCGAGCCGAGACTCAAGTGCAGCTCGTATAGCCCGAGAATGCTTGACCTGTGGCTGCCTACCTGTACGTTTTTAGGGTCTGTTGTAGCACTTTGGGCACTCGCAAGTACTTCCGTTTAACAAAGGCGCGTAGGCATTCCTGATAGGCAGCTATTCCACATTAAGCAAAAGGGAAACGATTAGAGAGTTTTGAGGATGTCTAAATACAGTCGCTTGTGTAATTAACCTAAAGCTGCCCCGCCGCGGTGGTATAGTGGCTGAGGTACTTGGCTGCTCACTTGCAGATTGCGGGTTCGAATCCCGGCTGCAGTGGCTGCATTTCCGATGGAGGCGGAAATGTTGTAGGCCCTTGTGCTCAGATTTAGGTGCACGTTAAAGAACGCCAGGTGGTCGAAATTTTCGGAGCCCTCCTCAACAGCGTCTCTCATAATCATATGTAGGTTTTAGGACGTTAAACGCTACATATCAATCAATCAATTAACATAAGGCTACAATTCACTACTGACAAAAAACAAATCATAAATGGACGTTACTGTATAGCGTTTCCTACGGTAGGCTCCGAAGCATGTTAGTAAGCGCAATTAATTCCTTAAAATGCAGAGGAAAAATTTTTTTTTTGGGGGGGGGGGGGTGTATCATATATGATGACAGGTTCGCGGATGTTTCTGCGCTCATTCTCATGATGGTTTTTGATAATGCGCCTGAGGACTGGTAGAGGCCGTTTGACCTTGGCTAATGTCCTTCAATGGGCCTGTAAGGCACTGTGAATAAAAAAAAGCAAACTTGCATAGCACGCTGACAGTGACTGAAGCCTGTAGTGGACTCTCAAGAGCAGGATGCGTCGCTTCGCAGCTGTACACTGCTCGATTGTCGTCCAGCTTCGGGTAAAGCGTGACGGAACTGTACACCGAAAATAGCTTTTCCCCGGATGCATTCTTTCTCGTCAGCACTTTTTCTGAAACAAGCAAAGCATGAGCACAGCGTGAGCACTTTTTTATATTCTCTGAGATTGCAGGTGTAAAAGCAGCCACCGTGTTTTGTAGCTGTAGTGTTCCTTTTGACGAATATATCATATTGTGTTACCACATAGTGTAAACGATATATAAAGCCATTAGGCAAGATTACACCGCAGTGAAGCGATTATGAACAACTTTGTTCATAACCAATACGAGACGAACACCTGGCATTGATGTTTTTGTCGACACGCTTGAGGTGCGCGCCGGTATGCGCACTGATCAAGGCGGCAGCTATACATTCGAAACCGGCATGTATTGAACTCGAAAAAAAAAAGAGACGGAAACTACTTCGAGTGAGTTCTCTGTAGTTCTGCCGTGTGCCCACCACTTTTGGGACACAATGGTTTTCGCTTAAGGGAGATAACGGAAGCATTTGCAATCTGCCAAAAAGGCGACACGTGTGTCAGCACACCATCCATAGCGTTGCTCGAATGCGAGTTCACGTACTTGGATCATACCAAATGATGCGGCAAGCCTGTTATCTATTTTTCACGTGGATATGTTGCGCGCACGTGTTGCGTTCTTCATACTTCCCTTCATTTTTCTGTTCTGTTTGAATAAAGGACTCAGTTGTCAGTAAGCGCTCGTCTTGTTAAGTCTTCTTCTGTGTTCTTAGTATTTTTTTGGCAGCTTTTACTCGCTACGTGTGGCTCCTCCCCTTACGACACCAGTCTCTCTCCTAAATGCTTGCCATAAAGTCCTCATCATGAGGAAATAGCCAAGCTCTTGCTAGGAAAATCCCGCTATGTGGGCACATTGCGCTGAGCGATGTTGAATGTATTTTCGACGTATGTATGCTCAATGTTCGGGCTATTTTTATTCGGTGTAGGCCGTGAATTTTTCCTGTGCACTACAGCGTTATCGTGTTCAAAAATTGTTTGACATGAAGGATGATTCGATTTACCCGAGTTTGATGCAGTCTGCTTTTGATGTACCGCCATGGTTTACTACATAGCGTGTCTTTCAGTATTTGAAGATTATACGGTTACACGACTGCATCCCGGAACAATTGGAGGAAGTGGGGGTTGACGTCGAACCTTGCGCGAGTGGCAGGGAGTTCCGCAGCCACCTGATGTTGGCTGCGGGCTTGGTGTTCCGCACCCAGCAGGCGATGACGAGGCTCTCGGCTTCTCTGACTTCCACTACGCTGCCGTTCCCCGGTGGCGTAGCTCGATCTCTTTTGTCGGCACTGGAATGTTGGCGAAGCAGAAAGACACGCTGTTCACACGCGTCAAGTAATGACAAGCACCTATATGTGAATAGCTTATGTGTGTTTATTAGGGCAAAATACTAATGTGGCCTCCAAAGACGTGAGACAAGTGAAATAAAAAAAAAGATAGAAAGATCACGAGACATCTAAAGTAGCGAAAGCCATACAAGAGTAAGTTAAAACTTGACTGTGTATATATGCGATGATAATCAAAGCCAATTAGATGAGTATTAAGTTAATTAATGAGTGTTGGACATCCATATTGAGTTCACAGTAAAATAGCCAGACCGGGTAACTCTCACTTGCAATAATCTCAGGCAAATGTGCAAGGGACTTCGTCAGTATATGCTTTTACGTTTTTAGCTGCAGCTGCAATATATAAAAAGTAAAAAAAAAGAGTCAAAGAGTTGCTTATGCAAAACCTTTCTGCACCACACCTGGTTCTGAGCTGCCTCCTGAACAACCCACCTTTGACTAAGCGTCGATGCCATGTGATGAAGACGTCATCATGTGACGTCACAAGTACATCACAATGACGGGATACGTTTTGGTGACCTATGACGTCATCATGTCATGATGAGTTCTTGCATCACTCGTGTTGCCACCGGTGCAGTAGACAGGGGGTTCTCGCGTTTGTTGAGGTATGCATATAAGGCTAATATAAATAACAGTACGAGACTACATTGAAGCAGCGCATTAGCTACAGCCTGCAGGAATCAAAGGCACGTACGACCTCTTCCTCAGACGATGAAGCTACGTATAGCGAGGGCCTATGTAGAGATTCCTTGGAACACTCACTATAGCTATGCCGTGGAGCAGTGGCGGAAACAAGTAACGAACTGCTAATGATAATCGAAGCATTGATCGAAAATCCAGTTGTGCGTACGAAATGAGAGGGCTCAGATTATTTTATTTCTGCAAGTATTTTAGACTTCAGCAATACGCCTCGTACGTTGCCAGGTCAGTACCAGAAATAAGAGTTGGACGTTGGTATGGATCACTAACTTAAGACGTAATTATTTTGGCAAAGAACGAATTACAGTGCTAAAAAAACAGGACGCAGCGCTAACGTCTTTTTATCGTTGCGTCCTCTCTTCTTTTGCCTTATCCTTCAATTTCTCTTCTTTTTAGCGCCACATAGATGTGTCTCAAGTGGGTAGTTCGCTAGGACGTGTATTTTTTTTTAAACTAACACCACTTCTGTTTTCCCCATAAATGCTGCTAAACTAAGCGTGTTTTCTTCGTAAGCACAGAACATATGCAGTGAGGGAACAGGGTCTTGCGAAAGCCACGTGACCATGTCTTTCGCTAGACACTATGTTAACGTACCGAGCACTGTGATGCGAGCAGCAGTCCAAATGGCATGATTCTTGTGGGCCGGTCCAACCTGCGAACACAACAAAAAGCACCCTAATGCAGACGATTGACATTATTTACCTTGCACATACTTGCCAAAACTGCGTACCAAAGCAGTCACAAATTTAGCGCTAGTATTCCAATATAGTGAACTATGCAGCTCTGAATGAATATCTAGGCATACTGTGCATGATCTGTTGGGAGGCTATTCGGACAAACTCAGCACGACTTGGACGAAGACAGGAGACACACGTCTGTGTTTTGTGTGGCTGCTGCCTTCGTCTAAGTCGAGCTACATTTGTACGAGCTCTTACCAACTCACTGAAGTCGAATTGTTAGTGTTGAGAGCATCTTAAAGACCGATATAGAAGGGACATTTTTCAGGAAAGAAGTGTTCTGTTCAATTAATTTTTGTTATTAGTTGTACAGCAGTCTCTGCTTTTTATGCTTTATCGCACAGAAACAGACCAAAAATGCAGCAAGAACAAATTGTTGACGAATGTGACAAGCAAAGCAGAAACATTCTTCAAGTGTTTTACGCAACTAAAGGCAACAAGGCTTAAGTATTGAAATAATAAAAGATGTAAGGAAGGCAAGCGTTCAATTGTCAGAACACACTGAGATGAAGTATCATTGATATTCGAATATTACATTCGGATTTCGTCAAAGAGCCTCTCGATGATGGAGCAAATCCAGCTGCCTTCCTTTTTCGCTAAGCCAACTCTGCCAATGTTTGAGCACTTCTGTAGTCACCGTCCGCACACTTGTTTACCGTCCTTGCAGCTCGACGGGTCTGAATGTTCTTGCATGTGTAAATTGTTTGTGGTTGTACAAATCACTAAGTGCATCCAAAGAAAGTTTTGCCGGCGTAGATTTACTACTAGAGTGAAAAGAGAGAGAGAGAAAAGATGGCAGCATATCCACGGAGTGAATGATGGAGAGTGGGGCGAAGCATCCGTCCGTACATTCGTTCTTGCTTCCGTCCGTTCATGCGTCCGTCTGTGTGACCGTCCGTGCGTCCATTCGCCCGTCCGTGCGTGCGTCTGTTCGTGCGTCCGCACGTCCATCTGCGCGTCCGTCCCTGCGTTCGTCCATGCATCTGCCCCTGCGTCCGTCCGTGCGTCCATCTGTTGGTGCAGCCATTCGTGAGTCCGTCCATGCATCTGTCTGTGTGTCCATTCGTCCGTCTATTCAACACTCCAAGTACCACCATCTCGCATATTTTCATCATATATTCCGCATATGCACCACCATGCAGCGGACATTCCAAGGACTAAACGAGAGGTGGCACACGCACACTTTCTTACGGCTTGCGCTTCGTGTCTACTTCCCACCTTTAACCACCTCGAGTTCATGGTATAAACTAGTTCACTGTACTCATGGCGCTGCGGCCCAATGCTCGCTAAACCTTTCTAAAACCAAGGAGGTTACGCCCAGCGAGTATAACGTAGCACCCCTTTCTTGTCAGATAGTGCTCAATGTACACGCCAATTGCTGCTAAGGGGGAATGAGAGACAGGAGAATTCGACTTTTAGTTACCACGCACGCTGCGAATTTTTTATTGTTCAACAACGCACAGAACAAATCTCTCACCGGTGCCACCTTGGAGGTCGAAATGTAAGACTGGTTACACACTACGGCTACAACTACGACTACGAGGGACAAACGGGTCCCGCTATAAGGAGCTTCGCCCCTGAAAAAACGTAAGGCTTTTATTTTTCTTCTTACTTGGCACTGGTATTCTGCCTCGTCCTCCATCTGGACGTTGCTGATGCGCAGATTATAGACGCCGCGTTGATTGTCTACGATCATTGTGTACCTCGGGAAGCCTGGTATGGAGGGGTCGAAACCTAGAAGATGAAAAGAACATCCGCAAGTGAGCAAGACAATCAATGTGGTTTCCAATAATGTTCTGATTGTGTCAATGCTTAGTAACAAATCAATTTCTCGTCGCTCACAGGACCGTACTGTGACAAGTGTCCAGGCTTTTTTTTTTGAAGAAACAACGACTTCATATTCGCTAAAGCTACATCCAGATGAGCTGTACACCCAACAGCGAACTTTTCCGGGATGCAAAATGTTCTATAAACCTGAATTCCCACTTTGTCTGAGAATGTAACCTCCAAATAAATGTTCCACATTGCACTTGACATGCCGTCTTATACAGTGATTATTTTCATTATAAGCATTATATAGCACTGATATAGCAGAGATTCGCATTTTTTGTGGATCCAGCGTCCCGCAAACTTTTGCTTTTGTTAGTACTCAACGTCAATGAGTGGAACAGCAGGTTCTGATTGATTGATATTTGGGGTTTAACGTCCCAAAACTACCATATGATTATGAGAGACGCCGTAGTGGAGGGATCAGGAAATTTCGACCACCTGGGGTTCTTTAACGTGCACCCAAGTCTCAGCACACGGGCCTACAGCATTTCCACCTCCATAGAAAATGCAGCCGCCACAGCTGGGATTTGAACCCGCGACCTGCGGGTCAGCAGCCGAGTACCTTAGCCACTAGACCACCGCGGCGGGGCTGAACAGCAGGTTCTCTCAGCGTATAATTTAGTTAAGGAGATGTAGCCTGTCATTTATTGCTTGAGCACAAAATTCGGACCGAAGTCATTGTCAAAACTGGAAAACCGAGAAAAAAAAACACGAAAGCGTGAAAAACACTAGGAAATAGTTTAAAACATTCGCCACTATTGAAATGACGCTGTTGTTGTGCAACCTGGGAGGTAAAGTCGTTTATCCTGTGATGAATGTGTAGAAATGTACAGACGATGGTAAATGTGTCATCATTTATTGTCATAGGTAAAGGAGGGGGAATTTAATTCAGGCGAAGATTGCTTGATCTTTGATTCGATTAGCTAGTGTGAATCCCTTGTTTTATTTAATGAGCTGACGCCATTTGCGTAATCTATATTTTTTTTGTCATAGACTGCAGCACAGTATGTTCAATTGTCGTAATAAATAGCTGTTTAACGGGCAAAGTCGTGGCAGCTTAGGCCTGTCTTTGCACAGGCAGTAATTGTTGTTACATCACCAATACAAAACGAAACACGAAGGCGAAAAAAGGGCCCTCCCATGGTGGTCTAGTGGTTAAGGTACTCGGCTGCTGACCCGCAGGTCGCGGGATCGAATCCCGGCTGTGGCGGCTGCATTTCCGATGGAGGCGGAAATCTTGTAGGCCCGTATGCTCAGATTTGGGTGCACGTTAAAGAACTCCAGGTGGTCGAAATTTCCGGAGCCCTCCACTACGGCGTCTCTCATAATCATATGGTGGTTTTGGGACGTTAAACCCCACAAATCAATTGAGGGCGAAAAAAGGCACATGCATCTCACTGTTCCTATAATACGTTTGCTTGTACGAGTCGGTATACGCACTCAGATGAACGCAGCACGACTGAGACGAAGACAAGAGAGACAGGTAGACACAGGTGAGCGCCACTTTTTACGCACAATACCTCGCTATATGTAGCAACCAAATTATTGACAAGAATAACGAATGGTAAGAAAGCAAACAAAGACGCTGTGAACAGAAATAATCAGATGTCTACAACCAGACCGAAAAGCTAGCACTGATGCACACCCACGTTACACAATTAGAGCTAATCTAGTGATGACAAGAATGACAGCCGTCAATTCGAACATGAGCAGAGCATGAGATAACTACCCGGTCTGAGTGATAAGCTTGTGACGAACAAAACCACGGACGAAGCACGTGTTGATGAAACGACAAAAATTGAACGCTCTACAAAATCGATATCTGTGTCTGTTGGTAACGCCGACGGCTTGCTTGCGCATTTGGTGTAAAAACAACAATGAAAACACAACCTAAAACTGACCTATAAATTTCGAAGAAACCCTGTATTCAAATGACAGACTGGACAGTGCGAGAATAAGAGCTAACTACCTCAGTATTGCAATAAATAAGAGAGTCAGGATGAAGAAATAACCAACAAAAACACGAATATTGCACGTGAGGGCGAAAGGACGTGGCTTAACAAAACTAGATAGTCACTTAGTAGAACTGAAGGATAGCTCACATGCCTGTTTGCGGCTGTTCTAATTAAAAATGCTTCAAGAAGTTCGCGTTCGGTCCTGTCTTTCACTCTCTTCAAACATTAGCTGCTGTTGAAACTTGCTCTGCGGCCACAACACTTGCATTGCTAAGCAAGAAAGCCTCTAGAATTATTGCATAGATTCAGCTCGTCCACTAAAACATCTGTCTGCTTCATCAAACCACTTTTTCATAATTTGGTTACTGTAGGTAGACATTTATTAATTTTTATTTATTTGTGAAAGCCTCCGGGTATAGTTGTACATTATAGAGGGAAGGGGCGGAAATATAGTTGGACAACAAGACAAATACAGGATTATGTAATTCCATTACCACGAAGATAAATATATAGGTAACGTTTTACAAGCAAGCAGCACACTTTACTCAAGTACAACTGAACTCAAACCACATAGAATACACTAAACAGCCAGTACACTTACGTCGCTTAGTATAATTCACGATTTCGAGTATATTAGTACATTTTTAAAACAAGTGGAGTCGATGATGCTTACTAATGATGCCGGTAGGTTATTCCAATCTATTGAGGTCTTAAGAAGGAACGATTGTAAACATGCTAAGCTGTTGTAACGAGGTATATACGCTGATATTGTGCATAGGAAAGGTTTGTTGTAGGGCAAATAAATTCACTTGTGTCCGCCTCGGGGAAACAGTGGACGGTGCTCGGCTGCTGTCCTGAAGGTCGCACATTCGATCCCAGCAGCGGCTGTCGCTTTTTGATGGAGGCGAAGTGGTAGAGTCTCGTGTACTATGCGATGTCGGCGCACCTTAAAGAACACCAAATGGACAAAATTTCCGGAGCCCTCCCCTGCGGCGTATCCCATAATCATCTCGTGGTTTTGGGACGTGAAACCCCCGATATTACCATTAATAACTGTATTTGTGAAACAGTGCTCGTCCGTGACGGGTTTCTCCTATATTTGTCTCAGCCGTGCTGCATTCGTCCAAGTTGCTTATCTCCGGCACTTGATTTGCTCGCCCACTCCTATCGGCCAACTACGTTAGATGTCACATGATGGCCTCCCATGTGATGCCGAAGCTTGCAACTAAGACTTTGAGGATGCTTTGGCTTCACGTTCAAGAGAAGAGCGCCATACTGTTATCGGGCCCTGCAAGCGTAGTCTTCAATCGAAAAGAAATGTTGCCCGATTAACTTTGGCCGCTTAAAACTATCTTAAAATGCTTACTGCAAGTGCAGTTGCCAAATACCCGCTACGCCATAATTCTTTCTTTTTCAGACCCTCTACGCGCCCGTATAAGATATACCAGGCGCACCTGCACACTCAGTTGTAATAGGCGTGAAACTTTAACTACCCACTTGTTGCGCAATTCATTCGTTCTGACGTCCGATGCAGTTCAACGATTCTGCCATGCAATATAAGAGTACTAAGGAGACATTCTTCGCTATTACAACATAACATTTTCATAGCGTTTTTTTTTTTGCAAAGCAGTTTAAAGAACTGACTTGGCTCCCTACTTGTGACTCAGAACACCTGGACTATATTCTCACACAAAGTTAAAACAGATTTCTTTTTATACGCATCTATCTCAAATTTTCACACGTAGACAACGCTCATTTTTCGCTAACAGTGAACGACGCCACCGCTGACACTGAAATTTCGGCGAAACAAGCTCCTGAACGCTATCTTGTTTAAATGTTTAATTACGAGGAAATTCGACACACAGAATGTTGTGACGACTTCATGATACAAAAGAAGCTCATGTCGAAGGCCACCATACTTAGAAGTGTGGCAGCTTGGGCTAGTTGGTATGGCATGACGATAGTTATAGCGCGAGAACAAAACGTCTTTCGTGTCCTTCTTGTCTCTGTGTCGTCGTTTTGTTCTCGCGCTAGAACTATCGTCATGCCACCATACGGTTTGTAAGCGCGCTCGTTGCGACAAACCACACCACATTGCAAAATCGTCGCTGCGTCCCTTTGAGGGATGTTAAATGGATGTCAGGTCGAATGGATGTCCGATGGATGTCGAGTGGATGTTGCGACTCACCTAGGAGGAAGCCGTCCTTGCTCCATTGAACGGGTCCGGCCAAGTTGCCCACGTGACACTGCAGCTCGGTAGTCTGCGCTTCGACTGCCTGGGTGTCGCGGGGACGCACGCGGAAGTACTGCTGGCCGCCCGCCCACGTGCCTAGCGCTGACGTTAAAAGCATCGCGATCAGTCGTCTCTCATAAGGTTGCCATTCATACCTGGAGTTTTCGAGCAAAAGCCTATAACTTCAGCACTTCTAACAAGTTCTGACCATATTATAATATAGTTCGTACCTGATTTCTATCGTTTGGAAGATACTAAAAATAAGTGGAGCTCTGCCTACCTTATGTCTGCAAATAAATAAATAAATAAATGAATAAATAAATAAATAAAAAAATAAATAAATAATATTTTTAATTATAGCGCTAGCTGTTACATGCATATTTCTTTTTTTTTCACTTGATTCAAGGGTAAACCGCCATTTGCCGATATTTTTTTGGCAGATTACAGGACTTTAAAAGTCACGTTCGACAGCATGATTGCGGTTTCTGAACTCGACTATACTCAAAGCGACATGTGTTACTCTAGCGGGAAGCTCATGCAGATAATCGCAGAATCGATTGCAGCTAAATGATTATTCTTCAGTTTGTTTTACGTTTAATATTGCAACTGACCAATTTTCGCCGGTGAGTTCTCAAAGCACGTTTTTTAAAGTAAAATCTCAGCGTGGCTCAGTTGTCAATTTCTGCTTCAACAAATTTTCGGTTAAAATTCACTGTTCCACTCGACTTTTGGTCGAAACGTTGTTTCGTGATTTCAGAAGAAAATTAACTGGAACGTTCACGTCTATTGTAGCACACTTTGGCAACTGAGATCTCGAAAGTAGTTCAGTGCAGAACACTTGCTGAAACTGAACGCACCTTTTGAAAGTACATGCTATATTTTATCACTTGAGACTGCAACTGAGAGTTTGTTAATTAATGTTAATTAATTAGTCGTTTATGGTAAAATATTTTCACCTGTGACAGCACCCAAGGACTACAATTGCGTACTTTACTACAGTTTCTGAAAACTATGCATTTTCTCTCCTCTCCTTCATTAAAATTAAAAAAAAGAACTACGAGTGCGATACATATACACCATATTCAGTGTTAGTTTACACGAGTTAACAAAAATTTGCTTTTGAAGAAAGCATTAATTTTAAATTTCTGAATAACTTCAAAGCTTAAGTAACCTAGCGCCACATGTTATTTCCCGACTGATGTCATAGCACTAAATGTGTTTTCATATTTTCTAGCTCTTTTTTAGAGGTGCAGTGCGTCGGAATTCTCGTTTAATCGAAAATTTGCTCAGTATCGGCCTCAGCTGAGTGCCACAATATTTCTCCGTGACTAAAACATTTCTGTTTTCCCTGAACCTGATAGTAATGCGGTGACCCAGCTGTCGCATGCATAATTTTTGTTCATGAAAAATAGTGATGTGCACAATCAGAACTGCTCATGTTAGAGATAACAAAGAAATGCCCACAGTTACAATCTTTTCACAAAAGGACCATTCCAATCCTGGGAAACATATAGTATTATATGAAAATATGTTATCAAACTCAATCTTAGTGATTGGAACATAGTTACTTTAATCAAGCTGTCCACGAGAGTGACACTGTGTTGATTTTAGGAGCATTCGCACGAAAGCAACGCAAACACAATGCAAAAAAAGACCACTGACTGCCCATCAGTTACTTCTGTTTCATCTACCCATGCTTTGTAACCACGTTACTACAAGAACACACCACTCGTGTGTCCTTAATACTAACTGACATTTGGAAATTTTCACGCTCCGGTCATATACGTGGATAGTTAAAAAATGCATATATATTACAGTTACTTTTTTTTTTTTTTGCGAATGAACACGCGCTCACCATAGTTGCAACGAAAAGACAATTTATGGCATTTCGAGACCTCTAAGGCTCTCTACGGCAAGAGACCCGTGTGGGTCTCGAAACGTCACGAATTTTCTTTTGGTGGCAACTTTGGAGAGTGTTTGTTAGTGACGCAAGAAACGTACGCTCCTCGCCAGAGGGTGTACCGTCGAACCCTGGACTCTAAACTACAGCTGCGTATTAAAAAAAAAAAAATCCCACCATCAAACACAAAGAACAGCACAAATAGAGTAGGTTGTTACTCACACACAAGTTACTGTAGGGACGTGTGCTCACGGTGATAACGCAATTTTTTTTCTGCTCATTATTAATTGCAGTATGTGATGTTCTATACAGTGAAGCAGTCACATCACAAGTGCCCTGTTCTTGACGTATACACTCAGCACCAGAAAATCATTGACTATTCCGGCATTCATTGATATGCTTGCTTTTCGCTGAAGCGATGATTTCTGCCGCTGAAACTTATAACCGTTACTTGCACAGCAACGTGATACTGCAGAATTTGATAGACGTCTCCGGAACTTACGAACTGGTCGCAAAATATCCCGCAGCAAACGAACTTTCACACTGAACATGAAGCTTTGTGCATGCATACAAATATTTTTTCAACACATTTCCCAATACAAGCCGTTTCAAAGAAAACTGGGACATTATTTTAGAGAGAAAAGTGGATGCGTATGGGAATGAGCCGGTTTTTTTAATTTTTAAATCAAGAGCGAGAAAAATGTTACGCACTCTCAATTCATTTTGTCTCATGCCCCAAATTCTCAGTATTTAACGAGTTAGGCTTTCAAGAAAGATTTCTGGAAGTTATGCTGACGGCCTCTAAGAATGTTTTTCCCGCCTCTAACTTTGATGCATTCTAGACGACTGTTCGGTTCTCACTTCACAGTCTCCGTTCGCTCTGAGTGAACGAAGCAACGCGTTTCGAAATTACCGAGCGGCATACATTCGGCACTTAATGGGCACAGTCGCAACCTCACGAACTGCTTCTGCACGAAGTTCAAAGTTCGTATGACCAGATTATTCTGCGTGGAGGGGCTGCAGAGTCGGAAGGCCGACTGCCAGACGAACGTGAACGTTCCAGTGTCGCGAGAAATTTAAAGTGAGCCGGTTGTCCGCCAATCAATGCTTCAAAGGTTTGGCTCGTGAAGAGTCTAAATGGGCTGATTAATCAGTAAGTCGGAACTCACCTTGCCATGCGAGGAATGCGAAGGCCAAGGAGAGCCGCGCGCAGCCTCCGCGCGCACCCATCTCGTCGATGGCCGCTGCAATCTGCGATGGCCGCCCGGCCGGGGACTCGCTGCTATGAGCCGGAGAGGGGGCGGGCGAGCCCAGGGCGCGTCGAAGTATGCGAGAAGAAGCGGTTCGGGGACCGATACTAAAGCTACGCAATCATGCCAGTCGGTAAACACTTTCCCAACGTTACGTTTTCAACTACCCAAAAGTGGCTCTTGAAGCAGGCACCTAACGTTAACAGCGCCACCTATGACCTAAAAAAACAAGCGTTTTACCAAAAACTTGAGCATAAAACAAAACTTTGCGTTAATTTTGTTCTTCATAGACCTGCGCTTGCGAGCAACCAGTGCTCAGTATTGGTAACCTAAGACGGCACCCCTTTAAAGCAGTGTCCTTCAGCTGATGCAAATTTAAGAACGCCGGACCGATAGCTATCTGATGGAACAAGTGCGCTGTGGGAATGTACTCTTCCGACCCGGGAGCAACGTTTCGATCAACTGCGAGGCGCAGTGCGATATGAGCACGCAAGCTGATAATAAAGAGATCGACACTGCAGCGGGCATTCGAGGCAGCCGGGGGCGTAAAGAGATATTTACAAAAAAAAAAAAAAAAACGCCGCTCCGCATTCGTTTGCGGCTGGATAATTAGATGTACGTCGGCGACAATGATGGGTGCTGTTGACACCAGCTTTTTGTATTGATTGCTAGCTCCAAAGTCGCTGTAGCCTGACTAGGACGCCGATTATTTTTGTTAATCTGATTTCGTTATTCAGATCTGGATTGCTGCTCTAGCGTAACAACCATCATTTATGTATCTATCATCAAAGACATTGAGAGAATCGGCCACCACACAAGCATTTGCTAACTAATCAGCGTAGTGGAAATTGACGCGAGCACACGCCAACATTGATTACTACTTTTTTCCTCACAGTCGGTACACGTTTAATGTAATGGATGGTTTTTTTTTTTCAATTCTACGACCCCTACCCTCACTAAATACTGAATTCAGCATCTTAGGACGACTGACTAGTCATTTTTAATCAGTGAATCATTTCCTGTAAGCATGGTTACAGAACGAATATGCCTTACCAATAGACAATACGAGTAAATAAACACATAAAAAAGAAGGATGCGTGTGCTAAGCTGAGAGTATACTGCACACTACGGGCTCATAATGTTGTTGATGAAACGCAGACGCATAGCTTATTCCAGAGCGTATAGCAGACGACGTGCATGTACCGGAAATGAGCCCGCATGACGTCACTACTGGCTGAGCGACCACGCCTCTCTCTAGCCGCCTACGTTTGAGAAAGAGCACTTGCGTCCCTTCGGTCAGAGCCAGCGGATCGTCGCGTCTGAAAAATCGAACCATAGCCTCCTCTATAACTTTGTGCCCGAGCGGTCGGTCCCTCAACGCCGTCCCCCGAGCTATTATGGGATGCGAGCGCTCCTGGCGGAGCGCCGAGGCGCAAAACGAGAGAATGGATGGCAGCTATGGAGAAAAAACCGGCTTTGAGTAACTACCGAAAGGGCAAAAATGAAATAAGGAGGGAGGCATTTTACGATAATTCAAGGGGAAGCGCTTTACTGTTTGAAGCGAGATCGGGTTGCCTTAGAACGCGTAGTTATAAAGCAAGATTCAGTAAAGAAGAAGAACAATGCACATGCTGCGGGAAAGATAAGGAAACGGCGGAGCATGTTCTGATTGAATGTGGAGATATCCACCCAGGTGTACTCCTGTATCCGTCAACTGAGCTCGTAATGGTTCTAAATTCTCTAAAGAATTACGCGGAAGTTTTCCTCGCAAGAGCGAGAAAGATGAATCAGCCACTGAAGGCTGCCGTTGACAACGCCGCGCAAATATTACAGAAACGTGACAAACTCAAGTGCTCGACCCCGGGACATCATAAAAAACTTTTGGAGGTTGTGCTCGTGAAGTTTCTCCGCCCACTTTTTCTGAACTTCGCGACGAGTGTGACTGACAAACACGACTTGGCAAAAGATTTTCATGTCAAACCATTGTCTCGAAAAGTGCTCAAGCTTTGAGCGCGAAATCAAATAACAAAGCTCACATTGCATTCTGCATACAGTGCTTGTGTTAAAAATTTGGTGTGTGCGCACTTCTTAACGTATACGCATAATCCAATGCAATGTAGACGGTTTCTAGACCGTCATAAACGCAAGCGTGCATAGGCCGCGTCGTCTGCTGTTATTATGGGATCGGTGCGGCATCTGGCGGCGAGCGCCAAAACTATAAGGGACGGATGGCGCGTATGTATTTAGCGCTAATGCGCGGGCACAAAAAAATATAGGAGGCTATGATCGAACTCAGCTGCCTCCTCTCGACGTCGCCAGCAGTCGGCTCATAACGCATACCGGGAAAAACTGCGCAGAATGACCGTCAGGTGGGGATGCGCACAGTTTTATTGGTTGCAGTTCCGCAGATGGAGCTACTTACTTTTTCGCGGTTGGTCAACTATAACGACCCACGAGGATGGCTCCACGAGCTTGCGGCGGTAGAACCCCTTGAGTTGCGCCTTTCCCCGGCGTCATTGATCGGGGCTCTAGGTCACGTGACAATTCTGTTTCCGGACAAAACAACCGGCGTGCCATCAATGCTTGGCCTGTTCGTGTTTACCTTCAAGCCCTTCCTCCGCTAAGTCTCACACTCTGTCTCCTTCTCTCTTTATTTCTTTCTATTTCTGCCTCTAGATATTTTCGATGGATCCCAGAGATGCGAAAGAAACGTGCTTTGTAAATCCATGCGCGACTGGAGGGCACTCAACAGAGCATGCTCGCCGACTCTGCCGTCCGACTATCGTACAACCCCAGACTATATAGGACAACCCCAATAAAGGAAATCGAAGGATGTCTATCGGTGGTAGCAGGTGTTTATCGCCACATATTCGATCGATATCTGGCGTTTCTCTCAAAACTTTTAGCATTGTTGTCAGATACAGGGGATCAATCACGACGGCGCCTTTTTCATTTAGGGGAGGGGGGGGGGCAAACATAGGTTGCACTAAATATTTGGGCTTTTTGGTACATATAGCGCTGTTTTATGGCGGTTTATGCGGCCCTCATGACACCGACATTTCTTGTGCATGCTGACTTCAGGGACATTTCACGCTTGCTCAGAATGATGTAGGATATGCCTTACCTGTCTACGTAAGATAACGACGGAGGCTGACGCAGCAAGTCCGGCAAGGGGAAAACTAAAGTAAGGCCTTAACTCATGGGGCTCACTGTGTCAACTAAGGCACTTCAAGAAGAGATTACCTAGGTGAGTGAGCCATCATTTACTTGGTTGTCGATCATCGTCTCGCGATGAGAGCTGCCGGAATCAGGGCAGTAATATATGCACTAGTCTATATTATAAAGGAACACTAAAGTTAAACAACGAACCAGTTAAGACTGATAAATTAAACTATGAGAAATTTATTATCGTTAGTTTGGCCATAACAGGTTCATTAGTAACAAAAGAAAAATGAATCTAAAGGTTTCATTTCCTCGCTGAAGCCTCCGCACGTGTTGTGGCATACACCACGTTTTTTTCGTATCTAGTCCACACTGGCAGCACGAAATTTTTTTCGAAACTTGGTATGCTAAGTTTCTGGCCTCACAGGAGGACGATGCTTAGTGATCAAGAACTACGTAGACTCTGGTAGTCTCCGTCGAAATTTGTGACGTCAGCGCACTTTTCGCGCGTTTTCTTGCTTACCACCTAATTGTGCTCTCGCGGTTAGCGCGATGATTTTGGTATTGTGAAAGAGTCAGTTAATAGCACGAGAAAAATAGTTGTTCTCCTCTTTCGTCTGCCTTTAAAGGAGCGGCAAATCACGCGTACGCATACTGCCAACTTTCCGTAAGTTGACGCTTGCTTATTTCGTTTTTTTTTTTGGATGTACTATCTTTATATTCATGATGGCATTCTAAAGTGCAGAATACACCCAGGATACACAAGAAAGGAGACAAGTACCATTATGGATCCTTGCAAACTTGTCCAATTATGTGTTCTTATATACCTTTATATACTTGGTGGTGTGAAATGCGAAAGGCTTGACTCCGTTCGTTGCGCGTATTATTGACGCCTCTCTAGAACCCTCCTCTAACGCTGTCAGGCCTATGTATATGTAGTATAGCGTATGTCAAGTACAATGGCGATAACTTGCGTCGAGGAAGCAAATAACTAAAGAAAAGTGATTTATTCACCAGTATCACTGCAGCAAGTATTTGTATAGCTGGCCCTACTGTCTAGCCTTTTGTCAGTGATCTTGGGAGATGGCTTCCAGCTGTCTAAGATGTTTACCATATCGCAGTAGCTATGATGTTGTGGAATGGCCTGGTATATCTCGTACGCTGCAGAGCTGCGGCAGCGTATGTATACCTTCTAGAACTTCCTTCACGATGGAACGGCAGCACAACCACACACGGACAGATATAACTATAGGTACAAGAAACAGTCTGCACATGCGGGAAGCTTGCTGTGGTTGTTCTCGTAAGTGTCGTTTGTGAAATGAGGGGTCCAGTTGCGAGTCAGCACTGCGTTTCGTGTACCTCTCTGTCCATGTGTGGTTTCACTGCCGTTTCATCATGTAGTACAGGATCAGCGACTTTCAATGCTCGTGAATGTTGTTGCATAATGTGTTTGTGAGAAGGTTATGACATTTATTTTGGGTAGGGCGCTGTAGCTGATTGAAAGAAGCAGTGTAAGAAGCATGTGATGCCCGTGGTGTTGCATGAACACACAGTGAGGCGTCGCGCGGAAGCAATTGGCTGGTCAACATTTGAAGCACTATTTTATTTAATCTTTCAGTTTACACTCATACTTTGCACAAAAAAACATGTTCCTCCTCAACGCACAATGGTAATCATGGAGAACTTGCGTTCTGTGTGTATGCTGGGGATGTACATTTAAATTAGATGGACCCACACCTTGACACACTTGGTTCGACATGCGTTCAAAATATGGCAGTGTTACCGTGTAAATAACCAGAGGTGCCCTAGCGTGTTGTGCGCACCCTGATTCGTTTGCGTGGTGGAGGCCACGAGGCCAGATTTTTGAGAAGCCCAAGGGGATTTCGACAACCCACACACGGCGCTCGGCCAACAAAAAAAAAAGAACGGCGAAATGAAATACTATGCGTCTATATAAATAGCAGCAACTATGGTAACAAACCAACAACAACGTGTATAAAAAAATAAGGACCCTCTCTGCTTGACCTGATCGCATTCTGTCACTGCTTTCCTTGACTCTCACGGGTAATCTACTCGGCCGGCGGTTTTCTTCGTGACCGACCTGTCGCTCCCGTGACACGGATACAGCCGGTACGTGAGCTCGAGGCGGTATGACCGGATGTTTAAAAAAACACTCGTAAACTAGCGCTGCTTGTATGAATTTTTTTTCCTTTTTCGTTCAGGCCCGATGCGTCGCATATTTAGCGCCCATATCACACCGAGGTCGCTGTCCCACGAATCAGCCACGCAGTAAGCGCGCATGACCCATCCAGGCCCGAAACGGAAGTGAGTGATTTAGGAATGCTATGCGTCGCGCTTCTCGTCTGGCTGATTCGTACCGGCAGCGACCCCGGACAGAAAAATAGTATTCTTAGTTGAAGCATAGTTCCCTTTTATTCTTTGGTACTACCAGGACACGAAACATAAAAAAAGAGAGAAAATCTATCGCCTCGGAGGCAAACACTTCTTATAAAGGCGCAGAACGGGCGGCGCCTTATCCCCGGTACACGCCACGGGGAAGGCAAACTCAGTTGACGAGGCGATGAGCGAAGTACGCCCCGACACGAAAAAACGAACAAAGCCACACAAATACTTGAAGCTCGAGAGAGAGAAACACGGGAGAACAATGGAGTATTCCATACAGATAGTTATGCATATAAGAGAGAGCATCTGCATTATGTGTACATATATGCTATACTTGTAAGGGAATTTGAATTGAGCAGAAAGAAACGTTTTTAACATTAAGTGACACTACTGTACACCAACGTTTTTTTTTTTTTTCATTTTACACCAAGGATGGTAGCCACCAAAATATCTCTGTGAACAAGATATACGCTTATATAATGTATATCCTTATTTACAAGATGTTTTTCTTTTTAAGGGAGAGATGCAACAAGTTTTAATCTCTGCAGTATTTCAAAAAAAAGTATCTGACAAAGCTCGGTGAATGAAATAATTTTGGTGTAACCGTGACACGCAGCACGAGGCTTTTTCGAATCACCGTGACATCATCTAAACGTGCGTTTGAAAGCTGCTCGAGCACAATTTGTTCAAAGAGACTGTCCGACGCTGTCACTTGAAGTTACACGAGGCAAGCGTGCACTCTCCCCCGAAAGTAATGATGCCTTGTCAGCGGTTTCCTGAACAGCTCTGACGCAACGCTTTCTTTTTTTTTTCAATTTGAGTAAAGTTGGCAGAGGCAATTCGGTTATTTGCGCTAGACATCACATCTAGAGCTCAGCTTTCTTTAAATGGAAGCTTCACACAAACGTCATGACATCACACATAGACTATACATCGTTCATGCTGCCAGCGCAGTTCATTTCCGAGTCATTCACAGGAAACAAAAATTAATTATTTCCTATCTATAACTTTCCTCCCAAAAAAAACTAAAACAAGTGACTCGAGTTGGCTAAAATAGGTGATATTTAGCTCTGATGCTGCAAAACAAAAATAGGTGCTTATAAAGCCCGAGTAACAGCACAGAATTCGAGATTCATCGTGCCATTATGTGAAACGCTTCTAGAAGACCCCGTAGAGTGTGCGTTATGTACAGGGTATAATATTATCTGTGATGAAGATGCCAGCCTAAAAGCAGCTTACAACGAAACACCACCAACGCCCGCGAAACAATGGGAGTAAAAGTGTGACCGTGGCAGCGAAGCAAACGCGCCTCTTTTGTCGCAGCTTGCTGGTGGAGATTGTTGGCCTTGTCTGCCGCCTGCCGCTTCACTGGAGGCCTTTGGAAAACGCGATGCAGTTGACTCAAGTTTTGTCCCCACCACTCGTGGAGCAAACATGTCAGAGCAGTGCTTTGTTTGCAGCCGGCTGTTTGAAGAAGTGGGGCACGGAATGTGTTGTATTATTGGCATGTCTCTTCTCTCCCTTGTGCTGCGTATAAAGCCAGCACATGACTGTGACCACTGAGCATTCGCAAATAGCGCTCTCCAGAGATGGGTGTTTTTTGTTTGTTTGTTTTCGATCATTATGAAGACTGCTTGACGAAAAAAGGGGAGGTTGGTAGAACATCAAAGTCCATATTAATGATACTAAAACGGGCCAAAGCTAACGGCAGACATGTAGCGCGGCGCACAAGTTCGACAAGAAGCATATCATCGTTCGCTGGTACTTTTAAGCGGTTAAGAACTTAACTTCACCCATCCTTGAAGAGCTGCCTTTTTTTTTTGTGCGCCACACTAAGCATCCAAACATAACGCGTACAGAAACACACGTGCTCAAAAAAAGAACGAGTCGAAAATGAGGTTGACCCCTAGCCAAGGATTGGCACGGTCACTCGCAAAACAAACGTGCTCGAAGAAGTACGCCGTCGTACAGCAAGTTTCAGACAATTAACTTGCTCGGAATGGTGTCTGACACCGTGCCGCCATCCTGTGCCCCCAAAACCGAGTGGTTCTTTTTCGAAAACAAGGAAGGTGGTGGGTGTGGTCGGATGAGTGGCCGCGGGGCTCAGGCGCGCGGCGTCCGGAGTACGAGCCCTGCGGCCAGCCCCAGCAACAACACGGCGACAGGTGTTGCCGGCGCGGCGGCCGCCGAAGTCATGTCCCTGCGCAGCATCATGACCTTGCTGATCACGTGGATGACTCCGTTCGTGGCCTGTACGTCGGGGCGCACGACGACCGCCTCGCGGCCCTCCCACAGCAGGTGGATTTTGCCTGCAAAGACATGGAACAGGGTGTTTCTTTAGGAGTACTCTTTGCTGGGCTATAGTCTGTTCGTGTTTATGCATGCAAGACACTAAGAATGGCTGTTTTTTTGCGACGAAGTAACGAGGGAAGGGGTCAAAGGAAGCGCGAACTTTCGACTGTTTATTTATCATAGATTACAACGGAATATATAGGAACAGACATGGGCAGCAAGCTAGGTACACACAAAGAGTGCATACCACCTCTAATCACAACCTGTGATCAAAGGGTATTTCTCATAAAGGGATGAATATATATATATATATATATATATCCATAAGCATTTCATTTGAACGTTTCGACGGCGTTTCGACGGGAGCCCGTCTTTTTCAAGGCCTTGAGAAAGACGGGGCTCCCGTCGAAACGTCGGCTGAATAAACTCTTGTTTATGGGAAAGCGAATCTACTTTTACACTTATATATATTCACGTATCCCCACAGAAAGAAATCCAGGGGTGTGAGATCAGGTGACCTAGCCGGCCAGTGGACAGGCCCGTGCCTTCCAGTCCACTCTTCATGAAAAGTCGCATGCAACAAGTTTCGTGCGTGGCTGCTATGTGCTGGCACCCCTCTTGCTGGTACCACAAAAGTGGAAGCTGTCACAGAGGAATTTCACTGTGTACTTTCATCCACGTAACGCTGTCCAGTCAGCGTGTCATCGAGGAAGATGGGGCCGATTATACCTCCGGCGTAAATTCCGCACGAAGCGTTAAAAGACCACTGGTACTGCTGTCGAGTGCGCTTTACCCGGTGTGGGTGGCAGTCACTCCAGTAGCGGGTTTTATATAGACTTACTTGGACGTCTCTGCAAAAACTCGCTTCGTATGTCCAGATCACATTACTAAGAAAGTTCGGAGATTCGTCACACTTTGTGAACATCCGGTTCGTGAAATCTAGGTGATCCTGCAAGTCCCTCTCTGCCAACCTTTGGTGCAGGTTAAGGTGGTAGGACGCAAATCCAAGTTATTCAATATCCACCAAACTGAGGACATTGAAATCGGTGCCTGGGGACCTCCAGGCACCCATTTCAGGGTGCCAGAACACCGGCAAGTAGGTTGTCACTCAAAGATTGAGTTCTCAGCCGCTGTTTCGCGAAACAGCTGGTTTCTCGCAGGTTTGCATAATTTCTCATGATTGTTGACGAGTTAGGTCTACCGCCACACTTACATGAGCGATAAATCTTTGCAACCTCTCTTGTGTGACTCGCAAGAACTGCTTCATTGTCGCTTCAACAATTAGAACAGTAGATATATAATTAGATGTTTGAATAATGCAAAAAAATTACATATAATTAAGAAAAATAGTCTTAAATATTCCTATAGGTTACTCCACTGTACTACGAACAATATGGACTTTTTTAGAATCGTGCTGCAAGTTAACAGGGACACAATATATAAATATATATATATATATATATATATATATATATATAAAGAGAGAGAGAGAGAGCGAAACATGCATTTACAAAAGTGGTTTATTGTTTATTGTGCATTGATATACTTGTACGAAGTCTATTGGCGTTTGTCAGCTATACAACCCCTTGACGTGGAGGATAGATCCCCGTTGACGACGAGTGGCATATGTGCGTCCAGACGACTAATGCCCATGTCTCGATTTAACCATTGTAGTGGTAGCTTAGGTTGTTAGCATATACCTCAACACAGAATATCGCGGATCTGGCACAAAGATGCCACGAACAAGCCCCACTGCTTGGTCACGCAACCGCTGGTCGCGCTACGCAGTGGTACCCGACACGCACTCCATGAAAGCGTCGTCTCTTCAGGAGAGAAGCGGCGAGGTCTGCGTCTCACCAGAAGTAGGGCACCATAAACTCCACCGAGGCACGTGCCCATAGTTAACCCAGCATACGATTCTTAAAGCAGTCACAGACGACCTATCGGACTTACCGTTAACATTTCGCACGTCCATCTTGCCTCTGGCTGTCTCAATGGACTTTAAGTTCTCCAGCTCCATTTGAGGTATTTCTCTTCCAACTATTAGGTGGCGTTCGAGAATCTGAAGAAAAAAAGAAAGAATAAGAAAATACAAGGTCAAATTCGTCCTATTAGCTAGTTGCAGATTGTTTTCGAAAATCTTTCTTTCCGGACCTGTATTATGTTGTGTTGGGCCGGCCCGGAGGTAGGCTTACACGGCCGGATTCCGACGCGGACCACAGGAATGTACACGGCGACTGTTGCCGACAAAGTGCTCCGGCCGTTGCGTCCTACTTTACTAAAGGGACACTAAAGCGAAACAGTAAGTCAGTTAAGAATGATAAAGTATTTGTTGAGAATTTTATTGTCTTCGACTTCCACACCATTGGTTCGTTCTTAGAGGAAAAAAAGAAGATGTCGAAAATTCACGCTGATACCTCATGCCAATTTCAGTGCCACACCACGAGATGTGACCGAATGGAACGTAATGTAATTTATTTTTCACGGATGAAGAGTTACTAAGGCCGTAGGAGGCGCAGTTAGGATCTATGACGTATCGGTGCGGAAATTTTGATATGTCACCACGGTTTTTGAACGCATTTACTATCTTAGCATATTGTACCGACAATAGTAGTGCTTTTGGAGCTGCGAAGGAGTAATTTATTGATCCGAAAAAAAAAAATGTGTTTCTCTTTAGAGTCCCTTTAAGTGAGGCTTTCATGGTGAACCTCTCCACGCATCTTTTCGTGACCATGGCCACCTCTGTTGTTATCTCGCCAAGTAAATTACCCTTAAAAAATGATAGACCATTCAACGAACGGGATGCCGAATGAAAACACTGTTGCGACTCCCATATCAAAATTACAACCGTATACAGTTGCAAGGGACCCGCTTTGCTATGAACGTTTTACCCGACATGTATACTGTCCTCCTCACAAACATACAACAGCAGATGGGCCATAAATTAGGAAGAAAATAAAACCATGCTTTATCATCACTTCAACACGCCATATTCCCTATGTGTTATCGGGGTCTCTGCCCCTGGTACGGAGTAGGTCTTACACTCAAACTTTAGTATAGCGGAAAACGCTTACGTTATCGTTAGCGTGCGTCTCAACGCTAACGCTAAAACAGTACATGCTGTGTAGCAGTTGGTGGTGTTTTAAAACAGTAGGAGACATTCCCACTATACGACAACGTAAGCACACATTGTGTCATGTGGACATACAAACAATAAATTCACTGTATGCAATCCACAAAAGCGCCACATTGTTGGGCTGTTCTAAGGTCACCTTTGCTGCGCTTAGGTGCCGCGTTCGGTAGCGAATGACGAAGACATCGTGGGCGTCTATGCGCGGCTACACAAAGCGTGAAAGAATCTTTTAAACAAGCGTTGTTAAGCCTTCACGAACGCTAATCGACAGTGTATCTCGAAAGCAGAGCTATCTTATTGAAACATCATTACTTAAATATAAATCAAATATGAACATTACTTGCAGATGAGTGAGTTTATGATTAAGGCTAGTGACTCGAAAGATTCGAAGTGGAAGGCTCTTTTTATAACAGGCGCCGCCATCTTGCCCTTTACGAACAGAATCTCTTGCGTGCGTTAACACTGAACGCTATATATTCCGGAAATAGCGTACGTATAAAAACTCGGACCACGTTTCAGTTCTGCGCATGCGCGTTTCGGAGCATGCAACACTAACGACAACGCAAAACGCATGCGCTGCATGTTTCGTGCTATATTGAGATTCCCTCACATCGCACTATTGTGTGCTGCTCAAAGCATCGGTTTTGGGACGTTAAATCCCACATATCTATCTAGTCAAAATATACCATACCATACTAGTAGTAGTAGTAAACAACTTCATTATTTTGTTTTTCAAACAACTTTATTACATACACCTGAGAGTCACAGAAATGGCACGAACAAACACTCTGATGGCGCGATAGTCAAACTGTGACATGGCCGGTCAGCAAGCGCTGATCAACCAAGCTGTACTGGTGGCTAAGATAATAAAGTTTTGAAGGGCAAAGAACTTTAATGTCTAGGCTTGTCCGTTGTGCGTTGTCCGTTGTCTAGCACAGCGCATGCAAGGTACCCACTATTCGATCATTCCAGCGACTATAGGCGGCGCAGCGGAAGGTCGAAATGGCGGACGAGACGGTGATGTCGCGAGCGTTTACATCAACGTCGCAGAGCGTGAAGACGCGTTCATTGGTTCATGACTACTGAGAGGCCGGACTGCGCCGCAGTTTTATCACCGTCTGACAGCTTCGGAGCACGCCTACATGGCGCCGCCTGCGTCGCTGGAATGACCAAATACACCCACCGCATGTCCTTCATGAAGCAGTGCGTGCAAGGCATCTACATCGCCAGCGTAGCTCCCGCCGACTGGTTCGCCCTCCGCGGTCTCCTGACGCCGTGCAGCTCTCGCATTGTGGCGCCCCGCCCTTGGACTGCTTCGACCGGATCCCCACTTTCCTATCTCCTTCTTTTTTGTCCGTCGCTTGTCTGTCTATTTCTTCATCTATTTTTCTTCTATTCTTTTTATCCCTCCTTCCCCCCACCCCTATAAGGCACTGCGCCGTGTCGCCTGAAAGCAGACAGAAATTATGTGCCTTTTTCCTCTTCCTTACAACCACTACCACCACCACCATCCACATCATATGCCTCCCGTAACCTTCGTGGTGCAGGAAAGCAACCACTATGCTATTCGCCATTCTGATGATAAGCGGGTAACCGCTACACATATGTAAGACATTATGTGCACTTTGTAGTGTGGCTGATGACGATGAAGAATAAGCGTTCCAGACCAGGCATTCTCTTTCGGGCATGAATGATAACAAACGTGAACGCGGTTTCACACTCGAAATGTAACGAACGCCGATGCAAAAAAAAAAAAAAACAAGCTAGCCCGGAGGTTGCAAATTCGAGAAACAGCGGCAAAGGGGCAACACCGACGACGAAATGCCACGCCGTGCTCCCTACCGGGCTGCATAAATTAGGTGCATTCTTCCTCTTCTAACCACTACCACCACCACTCCTGAGGTGAGAGCGCGGCATGGGGTGACTCAATGTCTACGCAGACAGCAACAAACTACCCCGGAGGTGAGAGCTCGGGAAGCAGCCATGAATCGCTCCGCGGCTCCCGTTGATGAGCGTCTGGCGTTTAACGCACAGCAACGGGCAGTACGGAGTCAAAGGTGTAGTGATCAACGTCCCGATAAACGTTCAGAAAATAGAGCAATTCCTTGCTAAAACGTACCCGACTTCGCAGCCACTGACGTTCACATAGAGTGAAAGCTGATAAGCAAGCTCTCGTACAAGTCCGGCCTAGTAAAGAAACGAATAATTCACGCGTGGTTTAAGTACCTATCCACCTTTTCAAAAACGCTTCCCTGGGCGCCGCCATAGTCCTCCTTGGCCTGCGAAAATGGGCGTGACCCCTCAAAAATGCACTGACAACGCTGCGCCCTTAGCCTACGTACTCCCGCGTGCAGCGCACTATGGCGGTGTTTTTTCCCTTCCAGTGGAAAGGTGTATAGAAGACTCAGCTTTCTACAAATACCTAAATACAGATAAAACATGTGCCGGCTTCGTCTTTGCCAGATACCATCAAAGAAGCATTGACTGTACATTTCACGGACCAAATTCAGTAACAACGATGGCAAAAGGGAGTGCAGAACTCCACAATACATGCGAGTTATGACCAATAAAACAATGTATATTCTGTAGACCCACTTTGTCACTGATTTAAATTCGGCGGCGGTTGGGTAATTGAACTGCCCAGTGCTTCGGCCACTCGTCATAATTCACTTCGTGGAGAAGTGTAGATTTTTTTTTTTCAGTTTAGTTCTGCAACTACACTTTTTCTCCATTTTTGAAGGCGTCTATTCTCAGTTGCTTTCAGTGAGTTCAGCGCTATACCTCACTTGTGTTGCCACTTCCAGTTGAACTAAGTGCCATCTAGGTACGAGTTCACGGCCTTACTTTCGGCTCCTGTACTTATTTACGGTCTGAAATTTAACAATGGCTTCAATTTACCTACTGTAAGGTTACTTCCAATTTCCACTCCTAGCCTGCAATTTCTTTTCGCGTCTATAGCCAAGCGAAGCGAACCATGTCCGTTGAGAAATGGTCCTCGATACTGTCAGCCCATCACAGAAAGTGATGGGGAGAAACACTTGGCGTCGTATAAGTGAAACTGCTTCTATCGCTGTGCGCAGGTTCCAACAGGACGCGTTCGATCTCCTGATATTTTTTTAAAGAGTTGACCAACAATTCTTCAGTGGTGCAACATTGTAGCGGCATACAATAGTGCTCAACATCTTTCTAACCTCCGCTAAATCCTGCGAAAACAAGAGCCACGAGTGTGGACACGCTTCATTGTATTACACGCTTTGGAAAACAATTGCTTTAAAAATTTGTGAAAGAAAACAGTCGTATAGTTTTTTTTTCTTTTTTTTTTTGCTACAAGAAGTAGTTTCGACCAACCTATTACGGCTTGAAACCTGTTACGCAGCATAAACTTTGAAATTGTTTTTAAATGCAAACAAATACAGACTGTAGGCTGTATTTGTCTGAGTGTCTCCACAGAAACTTACCCCACAAGTTACTTCACCTTTAAAATACTGTGTCTGTACTACTTCAATCGAGTCTACTTTTACAATAATCAAATTTGAATACATTATACTCAAGCAGGTCCTTCCACGTATAACATTCTGTTGTGTAAAATACCATCGCTGACCAGCGTAAACACAAACTTTACTGATTTTGGCTCTGCGTATTCAATATTTTCACAAAGTGTGCTTTCGCCAGACCCTCAGTATTCGCTGTTGTATTACTTTATTGAGATAGCAATCATAAGGACAGTCTCGGCTTTTTGCCGTCGCTGCCGCCGCCACCATAATCACGTATATGCGTGCGCACGCACACACACACACATTATATATATATATATATATATATATATATATATGAGATATGGCACAACGGGAGCGTTGTCAACAAGGATAAATATATTTATTTCCCAACAGTTTCGGGAGGGGTCCTCCCGGGAGGGGTCCTCCCTCCGC